CAATCGCTGACAAGATGGGAGGGACAGGACAGGGTGTCATTTTCGGCCGACGCTGCCTTTGGCCCTCTGAAACACACACATATTATAGGAGGAGAGGACCGTTCTCCTGCCGTCCAGGGGCTGTTCACAAAAGCAGAGTGTTTTGGCTAAAGCCTGCTCTGATTGCGCAGCGTATCCTCTCTCTTGTTGCAAAAAAATACTTTCACACAGCTTGGAATGCAGCTGTACTGATAGCCATTGACATTTTGCTTTGCGTAACTTTTTTTTCTTCTTGTCTTTAAGTTGATGTACATCAGAGATTAAATTGATTTCACACTGGCTACAGTCTTTTGCAGGTGAATCTTCTCCTTTTTTATGTTAGTTTAAGCTGAACATGCAGAATTAAATGGAAAGCCTGTTCGTTCGTGAGGCAGAATGACGGCGGTGTCTTATGTCTTTTCGTAGTTTATTATTTTGAAGTCCAGGCAGAAAAACAACACAGCAAATGGTTTTAGTCGTACACACAGTATCACCTTTGTTTTCTTTTGGCAGCAAACAGCCAGGCCCTCTCTATATCATCTCGCTTCTAGATTTTATTGCATTCCCTTTATGCGTTTTTGTTTGTCAAAAGCTGTGAGATGCCTGTATTGTAGAGTTGTTGATGTTATTAATGTCGTTTCTTTTTTTTAACCCCTGAACTAAGCTTTTACAGTAACGCAGGCACACGGGGTTGAGTCCATGCTGTTGGATGGTGTTGTTTAAAGCAGTTGCGGAAGTCTAATAATGATGAAAAGGGCTTTGTTTTTCTGGCCTGAGGGTGTAAGCGTGAAAGACTCGGGCATGTTGAGACAAACTGGCACCTTTTTCTCTCTTATTTCCTTTTTGTTACGCAAACAAATGTTTGTTTGGATTTGGAAGTCCAGCTTGTCTCATTGAGAGAACACCAGCCATCATTTAAGCCATGCCTGATTTTGGATTATTTTTTTTGTCTGACACTTTTAACTATTGAGATGCAAGGTATTTTTGTTTGTTTGTTTGTTCGTTTTCCTTTAACTTTATTTACCAATGCTTTTAGTACAACTTTTCCCTTGTTTCAGAAGTGGGGTTCTTTGACTTACTGGTGCTATAAGTCACAGAGGATGTGGACGGCGAGCTGCCTGTCCATATCATTCAGCATAGTAGAGCGTAGGCTTTTTCTGTAGTCATGGGGGTCTGGGGCGGGGGGGGATCTAGTGGTGAAAATCTTCAATTCTGTTGTCATGTATATAGAATGTTTCTAGTGATGGCAAAGTACCATTTTTTCATAGCCACTTGTCTGTGTGTGTGTGTGTGTATCGTGAGTATGGGAAAAAGGTTAGAGCTTAGAGAGGTGCGAGGGACTTTGTTCCGTTCTAGATTTGATAAGTTAGTACTTCTTTCTCTCCACTGGTGGTCTCACAGAAACAGCCGCTCCAGTACTGGTGGTGTTTAAATGTAGGCACAAGTACACTTTGTCGGGGATCGAGCTATTATGGATTTCTCTTTCATTTTTCTGGTTCATTCTACACGCGACTGCTTGGCCAGTCCTTCTGCATCACACTGTGCTGTATCAGGTGGAATTAAGGAAATCTTCCTTCTCTGGAAGATTTTATTTCCTCATTTGTATTGCCACTGTATTTGTGTATTTTAAAATGTGTAAATAAATTAATAAGTACTTGTAAGATGTTTTTGTTTCTCACTTTTTATACTCTACACACAAGGGATGCTTCTTAATAAGGGAAAATCATATATATATTTTTTTAATTCACCCCATGTCCAGGACTCTGGTAGAAGAGATATTGTATCTGAATAGGACATGCTTGGTTAAATAATTAAATAAATGCCATCCAAGAAGTATATGAAGAGATTCCAGGGATTGTTCTAAATCTAAAGTTGTCATCATTTACTTAAACTTTTCCACATTTATATGAGGTTGTTGAACAGAAAATGTTTTAAAGTAGGTTAACCTGTAGCCAAATTGTCCTATTATGGTAGATGGTGTCTAGTTACATTTTTTAAAATATCATCTTTCGAGTTCAGTAAAAAAGAAACTCCATTTAGTCAACTCCACGCAGGGGTTGACTAAATGTTGAGGGTTAAAAGGGTAACAGTGCAGGATCACTAATGGAAGAGAACAGGGGCCAACATGTGTCATGTTTGATGGTCCCAAATCCATATTTATGCTGCTGTAATCCACGAGCACACAAATGTACAGTATTCACTACTGAAACTATTAGGATTAACAACCACTGTTAAAGGCATATAGTTCACCTGCAAAAAAAGATTTACTCTCACTTAATGGTTCTAGCTTTTTTTTGAACACAACGATTTTCTTATAAATATTGGAAACCACATTGACTTCCATAGTAAAAACAAAACTTTCTATGGAAAAAAAGCTTTTAGCTGTTGCTTTAAAAAAAAAAAAAAAAAAAAAAAAAAAAATATATATATATATATATATATATATATATATATATATATATATATATATATATATATATATATATATATATATATATATATATATATATATATATATATATACATACATACAGCGGGGAAAATAAGTATTTGACACATCAGCATTTTTATCAGTAAGGGGATTTCTAAGTGGGCTACTGACACAAAATTCCTACCAGATGTAGCCATCAAGCCAAATATTGAATTCATACAAAGAAATCAGAACATTTAAGTATACAAGTTGAGTCATAATAAATAAAGTGAAATGACACAGGGAATAAGTATTGAACACATGAAGATAACAAGGTGCAAAATGGCATAGAAAGTCAGGAGAACGTTCAGTATTGAGAGAAAAACCCTGCTCCCTATCAGTACTAATTGATATCAGCTGCTTTAGTCCTAATTGATGGCCTATAAAGGCTTCTCATTACTCAGGAGGCACACAGGAAAGACTTCATGATGGGTAAAAACAAAGAACTCTCTCAAGATCTGCGTAGTCTTATCGTTGAAAAGCAATTTGATGGGAATGGTTATAGGCGCATTTCCAGAATGCTGAATGTTCCTGTGAGCACTGTGGGGGCTATTATCCGGAAATGGAAAAAGCATAAGTTCACCATAAACCGGCCACGATCAGGTGCTCCACGTAAGATCCCTGTCCGAGGAGTCCAAAGAATAATCAGGAGAGTTCTCCAAGAGCCAAGAACCACTCGGGCAGAACTTCAGGAAGACCTCGCATCAGCGGGTACTATTGTTTCAAAGAAAACTATAAGCAATGCACTGAACCACCATGGCATCCATGCACGCTCACCACGCAAGACTCCATTGCTGAACAAAAAGCATGTTGAGGCCCGGTTAAAGTTTGCGAAACAGCATTTGGAGAAGCCTGTGGATTATTGGGAAACTATAGTATGGTCAGATGAAAGCAAAATTGAACTTTTTGGCAGTCATTCTACACATCATGTTTGGAGAAGAAATGGCACTGCCCACCACCCCAAGAACACTATACCAACAGTTAAGTTTGGGGGTGGAAGCATCATGGTTTGGGGCTGCTTTTCAGCAAGGGGTACTGGCAGACTTCATATTATTGAAGGTAGGATGAATGGAGAAATGTACCGGGACATTCTGGATAAAAATCTGCTGCCATCTACCAGAAAGCTGAAAATGAAAAGAGGGTGGAAATTTCAGCAAGACAATGATCCCAAACACAAGGCCAAGGAAACAATGAAGTGGTTTCAAAGAAAGAAAATCAAGTTGCTTGAATGGCCCAGTCAATCACCTGACCTAAATCCCATAGAAAATCTATGGAGAGAACTGAAGATCAAAGTTCATAAAAGAGGCCCAAGGAACCTTCAAGATTTAAAGACCGTTTGTGTGGAAGAATGGGCCAGAATCACTCCTGAGCAATGCAGACGACTGGTCTCTCCATACAAGAGGCGTCTAGAAGCTGTGATCACCAACAAAGGCTTTTCTACAATGTATTAAGTAAAGTGTGTTCAATACTTATTCCCTGTGTCATTTCACTTTATTTATTATGACTCAACTTGTATACTTAAATGTTCTGATTTCTTTGTATGAATTCAATATTTGGCTTGATGGCTACATCTGGTAGGAATTTTGTGTCAGTAGCCCACTTAGAAATCCCCTTACTGATAAAAATGCTGATGTGTCAAATACTTATTTTCCCCGCTGTATATATATAATAAAATCTGATCAAGGAAGTCAACATGGAGACAGAAACTATACTGTTTTCAATACGGGTGCACTTTGCAAACTTAATTTTCAGGCCCTAATGGTGTTGTGTAAATGAATGGTTAAAACGTAAAGGCGTTCAAATACAGTCTACTCAACTAGATTGATATGGCCATTAAAATTATGTACAGTTACTCTGAAATATTTGCTTTAGTTTATTTTTTAAATTGTAGTTTTTGTTTTCATGGCTTGCCAATAAACATTGTGAAATTGGCTTATTCTTTCGTTTCCCCTCAGTCTCGAATCGCTCTAGCAAACATTGGACCGATTGTTCTCAACAACGTTAACAATTAAATTTTAAAATGGCTAATATTTCATGAGGTTAAACGTTTTGCAGGTATGTCGATTAAAGGTAACATTTACGATTTACGCCATAAAACTGTCGTTTGTCTTAAAGCATATGGTCAGGAGTCAACGGATGTTAATTTCGTTTTACCTGTTTGTTAATTTGTTTGTATTTTTACCCCTCAAATGTATCACTAGCGATAGTTTTAGCAAAAACAACAGCAACACATATACATTCTAACGTTACTCGACAAAAAAATCAACTAACCGATGGCCTGAAGGTGAGTAAACCAGCAAACGAGTTTTGACTAACAAAATAGATTTAGAGTATTGGGTGCAGTTCACTTAATGAATGACAGGAGGCACTATTTCTACATTTTAGTTGTAGGCCAATGTGGACTTAACATATTACACATGAATATAATGTGCAACAGGCTCATAACTGGCTTTCTGTACTGTATAAATGGATTAATTCGCCTGTTATGCATGTGAAAATAAGACAACTCTGATGTGAATTCAACATTTATTGAGCAGATCTGGTTTTATGTTTCTGCAGACAGAGATGGGGTCATTATCAAATTATGCTGCTAGTCTGAAAACTGAAACCAGGCAGTGACGGTAAATAACAGAAAAATGTCCCAGCCTGACTCTAGGCACAGTGGAAGGGCAGTGGGACAGATTCTGGGCTTACAGAGGCAAAATTTCTCATAGCTGCACTGAAGATTGTTTACATGAAAAACACATTTTTTGATGTGGCAAGTAGTTTAGTCAGCAGCAGAGCTGTCTCCTGTTGATGCTGGTGTAAAATTAGAACCAATGCCAGTAGGCAGTGCTGCTGTCAAACCTCGTTTACACAACAACGAAATGATGGGATGCACTGCAAGCTTTTCTTTCTTCAATAAACAAGAAAAACAATATTAGTTCAGTATGAGTATTTGAAATTAAGCATCTGTGTTGAAATTAAGAGAATGTAGATTATATTTCTGGTGAGAAAACTAGAAAAAACAAGGTAAATGAAAATATTGCCGAAGGACTCTTCGTATAAGCCGTATGAACACAGAGATACCTGCTCTCTATTTCACTGTTACGAGTCTCAGTTGAGAATTACAGCAATATATCAGAAAATAAATTCACAGTACAACTAATATGACTAATATGGAAGCCTTAATGGTGACTCTAAATTCTGACTTTTTTACATCAACATAATGATTTTTTTTATAATTCAGATTTTTTTTTTTACAAAGATTTAGAAAGAATTTTCGACTTTTCTGAGGCATTTTCTAAACTTATTAATTAGTAGTTGTATTTATAGCTCAAGGCTTCTAATTCTGAGAAACAATTCTGAGATGTTAACATGCAATTATGAATTCTGAGACAAAATACCAGATGAACACAGATTTCTGACAAATATTGGACATTTATACTCAGAATTATTAGATGTAGCTTATGAAAACTCCAAAAATAGCTTCTTATCACAATTCTGAGAAAAAAAGATAGAATTGTAACATTTAAAGTCATGAATATGATGAACGTATAATTACAAGAACCTATAATCTTGCAAATCATAAAAAAATGACAAGAAACAGAATAGCAAAATATATAATCAAAGATGTAATCTCTGAAAACTCTAGAAAACAATACTTTTATATCTCACAGTTTAAAAAAAAAAAAAACTTTTTTTACAGACTTTCATAAACTAATACAATCAGATTTCACTGTCCTTTGGCATTGAGACATAACAAAAATATAAGGTAAAGTGGGGCAGTAGGCACCATTTCCTAATTCAGCAGGATTACAGTATCAGGAATGTAAACAGTAAGGGAAAGGAATATAGTAGTTAACATTTGAAGTAGATGAAACCTTTTCTTTCTTAAAATTGTCCCACGAAGACAAGAATGGGTGATGTTCAGTAGTTTCAGGACAGCTTAGATAAAATGCTTTGATCCACTACAAATGTGGACTACTGTATAACACGGCATTTCAGACATCTACAAAAGCCAATAGATCGCACTTCGACAACACACAAACAAAGCTTTTACATATTGCTTGAGTTCACAAATTATAATCACCAATAGATAGGGACACATACTATTACAAAAGCATGTGAGCGGTGAGTATTTTGAGCGAGAAGCAGAATATCTGATAACTGTTAGTACTTTCAGTCCATGACAACACTTGTCAGTTCCTGTGATGGATATCTGTTTAGAGTTGTGTGATGTTGTGAGGTTTATTTAGCACTTTGTCAAAGGCGCTGTAACAATTGTATGCATTCTAGACTTTAGACAAGGGTAACTGTGGTGTAATAAAAAATATATATAATGGGATTGGGTTGCTGCTTCAATGCCATATTGTAAGTCCTATGAAAGTCCAAACTGTAAACTGGGTATTTTCTGACGACTAGGTCTGAGTTCATGTCCTGGGAAGTTTGTATTATTTGCAAATTCTGCATAATTATGATATCAGGTGTGTTCAAGTCACTTTAGTCAAAGGAAATGCAAATTTTAACTAAATTAGATTTAAGTTAGATCAAAAGGATTAATAAGCAACGTGAATAAAGTGTTTTTTTGCTTTTTTGTTGTCTTTATTAAGTTTATAAAAGTAAACCTAAACATTGCTTTGTGAACCATATTTATGAACATTTTGCTCCCTACAAACTAACTCTTTTAAGTTCATTCATCAATGACGAGCAGAATTCGCCCCAAATGCTTCAAAATTGTCTAAAATTAAGAGGCTGACTAGGGCCATTTGCTATGTTTCCTTCCACGAGCTATAGACATGAACTAGAGATTGTGTTGTCTAAATCTCTCTGTGTGGCAGTGCAAATGCCATGTTTGGAACAGCATGAGGGCATTGGAGGTCTGTATTATGGATTAACCTGTCAGTAAATAGCACACACATTTGGACACTGAATCAACTACACATTGACAAACACATTAACACTGAAATTTGTGTCTGTCCACCCTCTTTCTCAGGCAGAACAGCTCAAAGTCTGTAAATCAGAGGTCAGATTCTGCACTGCAGGTGATGGTTTTCTCTTTCTCATCTTCCTCTTTAAGAAATGTTTCCTCTTCTGTGGGCTCCTCCGTGACATTCTCAGGTCTCAGATCAGTCTTTGGCTTCTCTGAGTTTCCGTTGGGCGTGTGTGGCTCCTCTGTGGCTGGTGGACTGGAGTGATTCTTCTCCTCGACTGGTTCTCCAGACTCCACTGCTGCCGCATCTGGTGCCTCGGGTTTCTTCTTTATGCACAGGAAGTTGCATATGGCCAGCACTAAAGCGGACAACACAACCTCGATCCCAGCCAGCAGGAAGACAAACATATACTTCTTTGTGTGGTCCAAAAGACGGCCTTGACAAAGTGAGAACAAGAAGGTCAGTGGCATTCAAAGGATCTCTGTAGATTACTTCATGTCAAGGATATCCAACCTGGGTCCTGGATGGCCAGTGTCCTGGAGAGTTTAGCTCCAACCTTAATCAAACACAGCTGAACCAGCTAATCATATACTAAAACACCTTGGCAGGTGTGTTGAAGCAAGTTGGAGCTAAGCTCACCAAGACACCGGCCCTCCAGGACCAAGTTTGGACACCCCTGCTGTAGGTGTTTCAAGGTTTATTTATTGGGTATGGGCAAAATTTCTACACAGCATACATAATGGCACTGATACTGTACATTGACTTGCCTGAACAATCTGCCTTTAATCACGATTTAATACACAAAGCTTTAAAGGTCCCGTGAAGTGCTTTGAAAAATGCATTTTTATTCAATGTTAGACATAATCTCAACCAAAACACGAACAGAGGGTGAGACATAGTGTAGCTCAATCCCATTTTTAAAAATAGCCAATAGCATTTTATTTAATCACACCTCTGCCAGTGAAAGTGGTTGAGCTAAAGCACATCAAATGAGAAGTGTCTTGAGGAGGGCGGAACATGTAAGACACTACAGAGCATTTGGTTGGTCATGATTTGATGGGAAACTGTAGTGTGAGGTGACGTGAATAAAATCGTTCATTTATTTAAGGGGAAGCGACAAACTACAAGCTTTACATATTTATGTCCATTTTATATCTCCTAAATGTGAATTTTGTCACCGTTTTGAGCCACGTTAGCTTGAAGATATTTTAAAAACAAACAATACTGATACTTTTATTTTCGTTTCATGGGACCTTTAATAGCCCTTATAAAAAAAAATGATATATATAATTTAACTACTACATTTCATTTAGTTAAAAACAATGCATTTTCTGCATCACTGCTTATACTATTATTGTCACTTGATTCAACAGCATATTAGGTCCTTTGTTATATTATTGTTTATAGTTATAATTATATTAATATAACATAATAATTATATTATTTATATATATTATTGGATCCTTGCTGAATAAAAGTATTAATTCCTTACAAAAACCGCAATCTACTGAATGGTAGTGCCGACTGATTTGATTGATTGACTCATTTATTAATATATTTTTAAATAATGGAAATTATGACATAAATTAGAGCTGTAATTTGATAAAAAAAAAATCCTTAAACAATTATTATTATTATTGTCCCATATTAACTTTCCCACAGATTGTTGATGTTGTCACATATAACATCTTCCTTCTTTTGGCCAAACCATAAAATTGGTTTTAAAGAGATTCAGACAGATACAAGTGAAAAAATGTAACTTTGGTGTTAATTACAGGGGCGTAACATGTAGTAAGTTAGAGGGGCGTAACTTGCAGTTATCAAGATCCCATTGAACCATGCAAGAGGTCACAACGAGATGTTGTTGGCAAGATGGAAATACTTACCAGAGAAGATTTTCACCAAATGTTTTCATGAGTTCTCCAAATTTATCCACAACCAATTTATTTTGCTATATTATTATATTCATTCATTAAGCAACTTTACCATGCAACTCCACTTCCTGGCTTCTTCATCTGTTTTGTCATGAGTAAACCTATTCGGCATTGTGCCCTGTGATAGCAAATAACAAAACAATGCCGCCAACTCGCGGCCAAAGCTCATGGCTGTATATTAATAAAAGTGATGGTTGGGTTAAGGGTTGAGGAAGGTGTAGACATTAATAACTGTGATGGTTGGGTTTAGGGTTGTGGTAGGTATAGAACTTATTAACTGTGATGGTTGGGCTTAGGTGTGGAGTTGGTGTAGATGTAAATAACTGTGATGGTTGGGTTAGATGTAGAAGATATTAACTGTGATTGGGTTAAGGGTTGGGGTAGGTGAAGACGTTAATAACTATGATGGTTGGGTTTAGGTGTGGAGTTGGTGTAGATGTTAATAACTGTTATGGTTGGGTTTAGGTTTGGGGAAGGTGTAGACGTTAATAACTGTGATGGTTGGGTTTTGGTTTGGGGAAGGTGTAGACGGTAATAACGATAATGGTTGGGTGTAGAATTGTGGTAAATAAAGACATTATTAATTGTGAGGGTTGGGTTTACAATGGGTGTGGAGTGGGTGTAAACATTATTAACTGATGTACAGCGACATCTTGCCAACAACATAGTTTTGACATGTTGGTATCCATAACTTCAAGTTACGCCTCCAACATTCTAGAAGTTACGCCCCTTCATGTTACGCTCCTGTTTTGCAGTCCAAAGACAGACCCTACTTCATTTTTGGGATGAATGGTCCCACTAAAATGAACTTTCAACACTCACCAGCAGAGGGAGGACCAACCAGCACAGCAATGGCTTCGAGCATAAGAACTAAACCGATGGCGCTGGAGAACTTCTCTGTGCCCACGACAGCCATGAGAACCTCGAACTGCAAGGCTCCAACCATCCCATAAGAGATGCCGAAGAAGATGCAGAACACCACCAGAGAAGTGTAGTCTTTAGACAGGGAGCCAACCAGATCTGTGATGCCATTGAAAATGAGAGCGAAGCTGAAGAGGTAGACGCAGCGAGGACGAACCCACTGGAGTCCGGCGATTATGCCACACGTGGGCCGAGCAAAAATGTCAATGAAGCCCAAAATGCTTAGCAGAAGTGCAGATTTGGTGTCCTCGTTTCCCAGCTCTTTGGCATAGCTCACCACAAACACTGGAGGAACAAACAAACCGAGGACCATAATAGAGGCAGCAATGGTGTAAATGAGAAAACCTCTGTCTCTGAAAACACTAAAGTCCAGCAGCTTGGGCTTGGGTTTCACAGTTTTGTCGCCATCGTCCGGTGCGTTTTCTATCCCAGGGGCCTCTGAAGACTTGGGTGGGACTAAAGGCCTCATTAAAGCACCGCAGGCACAACAGTTTAGCAGTATTCCTCCCAAAATGAGGAAGCCCCCTCTCCAGCCATATTCATACTGAAGAACCTGTCCAAGAGGAGACAGACAACACAGGGCCACCGGGCTCCCAGCCGCAGCCAGACCGTTGGCCAGTGGACGCTTCTCACTGAAGTATCGATTCAACATAATGAGTGATGGCTGAAAGTTCAGAGCCATTCCAAGACCTGGGGGCAGAGGATATAAATGTTAACGTGTTACTTGATGGACACTCAGTACTCAGTAAAGAAGTAAATGACGACTGAAGTACCTGTAATGACTCCTGTACACAAGTAAATATGGATGATGCTCGTGGCAAACGATGCCAAGATCATTCCCAACGATGCAAATAGGCCGCCCACCAACATCACTGGACGACATCCGAATCGGTTCACTAAAATGCTGCATAAAGGCCCTAAGAAAAGTCATTATATATACAGTTTTATGCAAAATATTGGCCACCCCTGATCATTTTCATAACTGCAAGCCATAGCCTGCTGAGCTTTTTAAATCAGCAACTTCATTTAGATATTTATTTTATACCCAAGGGGAAAGCTATAAAAACATTTATTTAATTAACAGATGCAAAGCAATTTAAGTCTTAACAAAAACAGATAGATGCAAAAATTTGAGCAAAATAATGACATCAAACTTTTGTAGAGCCACCTTTTGTTGAAATAAAGGCAGAGGGTTATTATAGCCAAGGATAAGTCCCTGAATTCTTGCTGGGGGCATTTTGGGCGACCATTTTTAGCAAAATTTCTCCAGTTTAGTTAGGTTTGATGGGTGCCAAGCATGAACGGCCCTTTTCAAGTCAATCAATATATTTTCCATGATGTTCAAATCTGGGGACTGAGATGGCCAGTCTAGAAATTGTATCAGGTCTGAGCATGAATTCCTTGGTAGATCTAGAACTGTGCTTTGCATCATTGTCTTACTGAAACATCATGTCCAACCCTGCCGTAACTTCAGCCTCTTGACTGATTTCGGATGATTGCCTTTCAGAATAGGTTGATACCGGGTAGAATTCATGTGACCTTAAACTCTGACAAGGTTTCTTCTCCTGGAATGTTGTGTTCTTTTTCCGCCATGCAATGTGCCTATGGCTGTGGCATCTGTCCACAGTATTTTCTTCCAAAATTATTAAGGCTTGTCTAGATGAGCCTTTGCATACCTCAAACGACTCATCTCGTTTGCAGATTGCATAAAAGTATTCTTCTGCATACCCTTTCATTGAGCAGTTCTTTGTGAAGATTGCGCTGAACTGTGGAACGATGTACAATGTCATTATCAGCAGCAAGATGTTCCTGGAGCTCTGTGGACGTTGTCTGTGGTTTGTCTTTGACCATTCTAACCATTCTTTGCCTCTGTCTTTCAGACATTTTTCTTGGTCTACCACATCTTTCCTTCACAAGAACTGTTCCTGTGGCCTTCCATTTTCTTACTATATTTCTGACTGTGGAGATACAGGCTTTAAACCTCTTTGACAGCTTTTTGCATCCTTCTCCTAATTCCTGTTGGTGAATTATCCTAGTTTTTAGGGAATTAGGAGGTTCTTCTGAGGTTCCCATGTAGCTTCTTTTAGGTTTACAATAATGAGAAGTACAACTAGCAATCAGATATCTATCCTTTTTTATGATTGGTTGCACTTGTGTTAAGGTTGAGTCAAGCTGTGGTCACACTATAGTTTGAGCATGCAAAGTTTGTTGTACGGTGCTGTGAAAAGAGGCGGGATTAAACAAGATGATTAGATATTTTAAAAAGCGAGCGATTGGTCCATAGTTTACATTTTTATCCAGAGAGGTCATGTTTTGATCTAAGATTGGTCTCATGCAGTCACATGATGCGATTTCCCAGGTCAGAGTTCACCAAGTTTGAACTCTCCAAGGCAGCAAACTGTGAAACCTGTTGCATGAGCTTCATTTGCGGTCTGACGCCTCCGTGTGCGTATTAATGGATGTCTATGGGGAAAAAAGTGCAGTGGGACCGCAGCTTCACTCAAATCAATTTTGTGTTGTAATCAATGAGCATTAAGTGACTACAGGTTTTGAAATCCACACAAAAGAGAGGCTGCCCAAACCTTTGCATAGCCTATTTTTTAGTTTCAATTTAATCTCAATACTGCTACACTGTGTATTTCTGTGAAACCGAATTGCTTTTCACTGTGATCATCTCTTATAAAGAAAGAGCACATACTTATGCAGCCACCGAGGGGTGCCCAAAATTTGCATAGGACTGTGTGTGTATATATGCAAATATATGAACAGTTTGCATCCAGTACACACTAGTTAGAGGAGATAGTGCCACTCCTATCTTTTTATAGACATTATATCCGTGATGTATGTCATAAAAATGTTTGTGAATCAAAGTCAGAGATCAAAGTGCAAAATTAATGGTTTCTTCTAAAAGAGAAATAATAAAAACTTTGAACTGCCTGAAACAAGTCAGCAGTAAAATGCCAGTACTCCTCCACAAAGACAAAGGTTAAATTTGCTCATATATTGCGGATACCTTAAAAATCTGCAATATGATTTGATTGAGTGGCACATACAAAAACAAAGCTGTTAAACGTATCAAATGAGCAATCAACACAAAGTAATTCATGCCTTTTTCAGATGCACCGACAAATATCAAGAGTAATTCAGTTGGCACTGGCAACCTTTACAGAGGACAGTCACTGAAAATGGTCTTTAATAAAGACACACTAGCGCTGAAAAGATGTCTACACTCTATTTATTTTAAGCCATTTTATATATTTATTAAATGAATCCCTGGGGGAAAGGGTGGAATTTTTTAATATCCTTGAACTGTCCAGATATTGTTTTCTCAAAGAACATGTTATCATACAGGTTTAGAGTAACAAGAGCATTATTGGGGCTGAACTATCCCTTTAAGACCTCATTTGAATATTGATGGACCTACCCGTGCCATAAAGCATAGCCAATAGGATGGAGGAGATCCAGGCTGTGTCACTGTAACCCACCCCAAACTCTCTAATCAGCTCCTTGAAGAAAACACTGACGGCCTTTGGAAAGGCGTAGGAGAAACCTGTGATGACGAAGCAACCGAAGAGCACAGCCCAACCCCAACCACCATCAGGAGCTTTCACTTTACAGCCGCCGTCATCCAGTGCCACTCCACCCATGATGCTCTAATGCTCTGTGGAAACACACACACACACACACACACACACACACGTGATCTTAGGGTAAAGCAATAACCTGTAGTACGCAAGTCAATAATAATGCCTTCAGGACCCTATTACCAGGAATCCCAGGACACAAAGAATTGTAGATGGAGGCAGCCATTATGTTACATTTCAGTTATGCATCTGTTAAAAGATGTGCTTGATTGTAATAATATTGGTGCCGCAGTGGGTAGCACTGGGTGTTTCTTAGTGATGGGTTGCAGCTGGAAGGGCATCCGCTGCTTGAAACATGTGCTGGATAAATTTGTGGTTCATTCCGCTGTGACATTTTAGGATTATGTCTTAAATATAATCCTAAATTTGAAAATCAAAAATGTATTTTAAATGATGTAACTTGACAATGTTTTGGAGAGTGATCGTGCCTCTTTATCATTGCGAAAATAAATGTATTTTTCCTACAGCTGTTTACATAGTTCACCTTTCACACGACAGTCTAACTTTTTATTCATTTAATTTGTTACAATTTTAGCTCAGGATTTGCTTATTTTATTAATATTTTTATTAATTATTTTTAGCATTTCCCAGTACTGGATAGAAGGCCATCCACTGCATAAAAAAATTTGCAGTTTTACAGTTGTTTTCCCAGCTTTCCATTTGTATCCAATGTGGTCATTTTTTGACCACAAAAAGTGTGACTGTTTTTTCAGGTCTAACCTTTCTGAATTATGTTTTCTCACAAACACACACACGTTTCTGACTGAAGATGCTAAGCTTTTTATTTATTTATTATTTGTTTTTTGTCTTGTAAATTAGATTATTTGGTAGTTAAATATTCATTACGTATTAGAAAATTTAACAATTTAGCAAAAATTGTAAAAAACATACCCACTTAACCCAGCCTGGGTTAGGCTAAATGCCTTACAGCATCTTGTAGGCTATAACTGACTGACATCGCGTTTTTGCAATATCCGCACTTTTACACAATACGCCTGATAGATAGACAAACCTCTAATAACTCAATCTTTAATCCATTAACTCTATAATCTGGAGTTCTGGCATTTAAAAAAAAATCAGCTTGTCCACGAAGTCAGTATCACCTGTTACCTTGTATAAGGATGCAGCAAAGATGCGGAACAAGCTCATGCGCAGTCCACATTTATCACCGAGATGCAAGGTTATGCAGCCTATTTAAGTTCATAAATATCCACCACGACATCTGTCATGATTTCTATAGCATTTAGAAATGTGCTTATAGGCTTTCATATATATGCGCACAACGAATATTAATTTCATAAACAAAAAACTGTAAATATTAAAACCATAGTTATCACTATAACTCAGCTTCGTTAAATCAGACTGACATTTATAAATGTTGTCCTACACGATCTGCGCAAATCTTATATTCTTATGAAAAGGCTAATTAGCATCATTATTTTGGCATTAAACATCATCTGAATTATCTAATAACCACGATATGCTTCCGGGATATGCCTAAACTAACTACAAATGTTAGGCTACTTACTAAAGCAAATGACAATCCTTCAATTTTTTCAGTTGTGTCCAGCGGAACACGCTTCTGGCAGCACGTAGGACATTATAGAGAGAGAAACCCGACCGGCTGGGTCCGTGGACCTGACTGGACTGGGTCCTAAAGTCTGCGGCTCACTTCTTGTTGTCATATTCACCTCAGCGTGCGTGTGACGTAAGAGCTTTCTGCCACTCCAGCAACGGTAGTGAAAATAACCTGACCTGTTCAACAATAGGGTTCAGTTCTTTGTAAAATCTTAAAGCTGCAGAACAGGAAAACGTTCTGCAAGAGGAAACTGGAATGCCCTCTTACTTGTTTCAGATATGCCAAATATCTGAAAATGTGCATACGGCTATGCATGCTCATGCCTGCACTGTCTAACATGCATTTTCTAAAGATCTATTTACAAGGGATCATCTGAGAGATGTATTACTGTTTCAGGGAGTGTCCTGACGTGAGTTATGAGCTTAATAAACAAACCTGTGTACAAACGAAGGGGAGAGCCAGCAGATAAAAGCAATATGAAGGGGAAACTTTAATTGTAATGTGGTACAATGTAATGATGAATGCAATGACTGCATACAAAATTGCACACCTGACAAAAGTCTTGTCGCCTATCCAAGTTTTAGTAACAGCAAATAATAACTTGACTTCTAGTTGATAATTTGGTATCAGAAATTACTTTTATGAAAAGGCTTCTAGATTACGCTTATTTTACCAAAATAAAATATGATCATGTCTTGATTTTTCATTATTTAATTAGGACAGTAAGGTCTGACTTTGCTTACACAGAAGTCTTGTCACTGTGCATGTAATGCCATGGAGCAGAATTAATATTGTTTCTGTCTCCTATGAACTTGGAGTCCTTTAGATTCATCTTCAATGCCTCTTCCTTCATCTTACCCTAGACATGCTCAATAACTTTCATGTCTGGTGACTGGGCTAGGCACCTTGACCTTCTTTGCTTTTAGGAACTTTGGTGTGAAATATGAGGAGCGCTATCCTGCTAAAGAATTTGTCCTCTCCTGTGGTTTGTGATGTAATGGGCAGCACAAATGTTTTCATACCTCAGGCTGTTGATGTTGCCATCCACTCTGCAGATCTCTTGCACGCCTCCATGCTGAATGTCACCCCAAACCATGTTTTTTCCTTCACCAAACTTTACTGATATCTGTGAGATTCTTGGGTCCATGCGGGTTCCAGTCGGTCTTCTGCAGCATGTGGGAAGATTGGGGTGCAGTTCAACATATGATTCATCAGAAAATCTACCTTCTGCCACTTTTCCAAATGATCAGCTAAAAGATAAATTATTATTTGTTGCTCTTACAACCGGAATCGACAACAAGACTTTTGTCTGGTGAATAGCAGGTGGATAATAGTATGATAAAATATGTGGAAAAGATATGGAAAGATTATGCATACAGTGAACATTTTAAATATGCCAGAAGGCCATAGGTCAAGATTGGTAAAGGCCATCAACTGCACTAATAGATCATGTGATAATAATGGCATTGTGAATGTAGTAATGTATGCCTTACCTTCATACTATATGGAAAAAATATCTTTACAGTTCATGAAGTAATTCTTTAAAACAATTATTTTGAGACGACAATGTGCCATTATCTACTCGAAGCAGTTCATGTTTTCAACTCAAAGCTAAACAACACTATCAAACATTGATACTTCCCATATACTAGTATGTGCAAAATAGTATGTGAGATGAGAAGTGTCCAGATGTGTTGCATTCAAAACCTGTATGACTGCACTGATTCTGAAGTGCACATTTGATGGATATTTTATTATCCCATGAGGCCACAGAAGAGCATTTATAAATGGAAGTCAACTCACTTTGGAATTATAAGATTCCTCTTTACATTTATGTCAAAGTCCAGTTATTTACACATTTTTTTAGGTTTGTTCATGGCTAATGTGTATAGTTTGTGATTTAACCGAGTTTAATAAAAACAACGAAGTTTTTAAAGATTTATTCCAAAATGATGATGGAGCTATGTGAAACCACGTCTTACTCCATGTGCTGCTCTCTAGTGCCCATATTTACACATTTTTAAAGATTTGTTTTTGCCATTTTGCCTATATTTGACTGGACAGTAGAATGACAGGAAGTGACGTGGGAGGAGAATAGGTTGGGAAAGGTCCACAACCAGGATTTGATCCCAGGACGCCTGGAATGCTGTTGTACTATATGCTGGCACACTAACCATTGTGCTATTGCTAGGCCCACACGAGCTACGCATGCAGAACTCCGCAGAGTTTTACCCCATCTTTGAGTCTATGTATTTGCTAGTTTAAATATGTGTAAATTTATATTTATTCAGTTTTTAAATTAATTTCAGTACAATTATTGACTAAAATGAAAAGGTTTATTTGATTTAATTACAATACAGTTTGTAAAGGAATACTTTCTGTCTTGTAGATATGAGACTTGCTTTATTTACCAATTAAGTGATCTAATTGGATTTGCATTGTAAACATTAAATAACAGTTAAAAATGTGTTATTTATTATTTCATATAGTAAGTTTTTAGTTATGATATTTTTTTACAAAATTCTGCACAGAAATAGCAAAAAAGTCAGCAGAATCTGTCTGACCATAAATATCACATTGACTTTATACATTAATATACTGTGAAAACGTATTTACACGGTGACTTTATTTTTTATTTTTTGGAATGTTCACCTTTTATTCAGAAATCCTGATCCCAGTATTATTTTTGGTATGCAAAAACTTTGAAGCACAGTATCTTAAAACACTTACTACATAACCTTAAATCCAAAGAATTGACAGATGTGATAATGGCAACTCACACCTTCATATAGAATATACTATAAGCAGCCAAGAATTTATTCAAATTGAGGCTGTGTTCATGCCATAATTATTGTAAATATAAGATAAAAACACTTAAGCCTACAGGGAATGCTCAGCCTGTCAAGAGAAGAGAAATCTGTCAAAAATCTGACCAGTATTTTTTTTCTCACAACACATCATGATTATGATTACACGTTAGGTCAGTAGGCAGAGAGTAGCATGTTGATTGTGATAGTTTGAATTCAACTAAACATTCAACTAAAAGTTCCTATACACAGAAGGCAATCAGTCACAATCAAATGTTTCAACTGCTTCTGGAAGTAGTCAAAATAGGACAAGCTCATCCATTTCTGATTGGACTGACAAAAGTACACCTTAAATTCCACTTAAACCAGAAGTCTCTGAGACTTTTAAGTCACATTTTGACTAAAACAGAATGTTGAGCAGGGGGTGGGTCTTTTTTTGCATAATTCTCTTGTAGCAAACTAACAGGAAGAGAGGCGTAGTGAAAAATATTGTGGCTGAAGCTTACATTCCAAATGCGGAAGCAAAAGGTCAGAATTTGATTAAAGGTTAGCAAAAAAAAAAAAAAAAAAAAAAAAAAAAACAAATAAATATTTATATCTATATATATATCAATATTTTTTTTTCATTTAATTAAGTTGCACAGATTAATTATTCAACTTAAAGAATAGGCGAAGCAGTGGCGCAGTGCTGTCGCCTCACAGCAAGAAGGTCGCTGGGTCGCTGGTTCGAACCTCGGCTCAGTTGGCGTTTCTGTGTGGAGTTTGCATGTTCTCCCTGCCATTTGGGTGGGTTTCCTCCGGGTGCTCCGGTTTTCCCCACAGTCCAAAGACATGTGGTACAGGTGAATTGGTTAGGCTAAATTGTCCGTAGTGTACGAGTGTGTGTGTTAATGTGTGTGTGGATGTTTCCCAGAGATGGGTTGCGGCTGGAAGGGCATCTGCTGCGTAAAAACATGCTGGATAAGTTGGTGGTTCATTCTGCTGTGGCGACCCCGGATTAATAAAAGGACTAAGCCGACAAGAAAATGAATGAATGAAACTTAAAGAATAACAATGTGCACTAGCAAAATAAACATTGTGAATTTTGATTTCACACAGACTTTAAAACCATTGGAAAAAGTGCCAAGGCATTGCTGTTTGTTATAAAAATCTAGCTTGACCCAATAAGGCTGTTCAACAATTGAGTATTGTTTTTTAATGCCAGAAAGTAACAGTGGTCTCTATAAATAGCCTGGTTCATTGTATATCTTTTGACTGCTGGAGTTTCTGCCGGGAATCGGACTGGCCTCTGAACTCGCCTGTAGGGAAATCAGAGGATTGATCAGCTCTGCAGTGTAACACAATCATTTAATCATCAACCCACAGGCCTAGTAATGTGGGACAGCTGTACATTCAGAACAACACATCAACAATGGCTGTCCTGACTGAATTCAAAGCCATCAAAAGCTGCATGTTTTGCATCATCAATATAAATAAATTAAGGACTTTTCAGAATAGCAATCAATGTAAACAAGCTCAATGGCCCTTTATGGAAGTATGCCTGTGCAAAAGGAAATAGGAAAAGAAAGACAGGAAATAATTTGGAGGACTTGACAAATTCAAAACATGTCCCTGCAGACCAACAACAGAACTTTTAACAGAAGTTGCTTTAATGGGATAGTTTCCCCAAAAAATCTATATATACTCACCCTTGGGTGGTTCCAAGGCTTTATGAGCTTATTTTTTCCCCTGTTAAACAAAAATTAAGATATTTTGAAGAATGTTAGAATCTGGTAACCATTCACATTCATAGGAACATTAAATACCAAGGAAGTCAATGGCTATTGGTTTCCAACATTCATTCATTCATTCATTCATTCATTCATTCATTCATTCATTCATTCATTCGTTTATTTTTCTTCAGCTTAGTCCTTTATCAGGGGTCGCCACAGCTGAAAGAACCATCAACTGTTCCAGCATATGTTTTATGCAGGGGATGCCCTTCTAGCCACAACCCTACTGAGAAACACCCATACACACTCACATTCACACACACACACTGATACACTACATCCAATTTAGTTCATTCAATTCACCGTATTGCGCATGTTTTTGGACTGTGGGGGAACATGCAAACTCCACAAACTCCATCTCTTCAAGTAACGTATGAAGTTAATTCTTAAATTGTGAGATTTGATTCATACACTTCATGTAGACTAATACAATAAAGGAAAACAATGATATTATGTGAGTTCAGGAAAGACCATGTTTCAGGATGTGTTGATGAAAATGAAACCCCCAGATTTCCATGACATTCATAGCATGTTAAAAGCCCTCGATTCAGAATGCAGGCCCACATGACTGATGAAAGAGGAATAAAACAGAAGAGATTTATTGTTCGACTGACAAATGGATGTCCATTCTACATAGAGAGAATAGATATGAGAGGTGTTTTAACATTCTGGATGGAGACAAAGAGGACAAAGAGTGTGAATTATTTATGAACTGATACATTTTAGCACTCTTTTAATTGCGAATACCTTTATTATTACAAATTATACATGATGGCTATTAAAAATTGTTATTGTAATCTGCTTGATCACTTGCTTTAGATTATGAAATCTGATTTTGAATAACTTTTCAATTATTTCTGACCTAACTATTTATTAAGGTTGTTATGAACGTAATAAAATGTGTCAAACATTAAATAACGACTGAATAATGAAGATTTGGTACACATCGTCAAGTCAGCTATCAAAATTACTCATCTCAAACACCTCAAAAACATCTAGAAGCAAGCTCAACCAGTTAATATGCATGACATTTATATTTACAAAGTGAAAAAATATTAAAATGCACTTATTTCTTGAAAGGATATTTAAAGTAAAAAAATTATAAGAATCAATAAATCACTTATAATTTATTTAGCATTTTCTAAATGATTTGTAATAAAAAAGCAAGTAATAACTGTATTATGATTATGCATATTCCATATAAACTCTGTTGCTGCTCAAAATTGATTCCATTTTTAAAAATCATGATTCATGGATGTTGATTAGATTTTGTTTAGTTATTGTCCTGTTTATTGTAACTAAAAGTAGTTTTAACTCTAAAAATCCCTTCAAAATGCATGTTAAATGGCTTCTCTTATAAAAAATGGGCTATTTAACAGCTATACTTCACAGAAATATATTTACAATTGCACTATAGTATGCATGTGTATGACAAGTAGACATTAAAGATTGGTAATAAAGTTTTCCAAACAATACTAATCCAAATATTTTCTAGTACTGCCTTTTGTAGCGATACTATAATCAAATATAAAACCATTTAATATCTATCTATCCATCCCTCCAATAATCCATCTAAACATTGCTTAAAATTGACTGTCAGAAAAGCTAATGACTTATGCTTATATGTAATTGTGTTTACTATTTTGATTGAGTAGCCTATTCAATAGCCTACCTTTAAAAACACAACAAGACTCCCTTATAAACTAAATAAATAAAAGTTTAAATAGTAACCTAGTTTTACATTTGAAGCTCAAAAATAATCTCTTCTGGCCTCTGGTGGATATACAGTAGAGAGCTTTACGCATGATCTCTGTCCAGCACGTATGGTTGGACTCTCATTCAGCCAATCAGAGCTCACGCGGAAGCTGCGTCTGCTCTTTTAGTTTACCACAGTGACGGGTAAAAATAGAAAGTACCTGTAAACTAGCTGTCCTTTGACGGTTTGTAAAATGGAGAGTGTTTCTACAAAAGGCAAAGACAACATGATAGCTCGAAAACGAAAAAGTAACGTTAGTGAAACGACAAGCGGCAAGATACCTAAGGATGATGTCAGGTAACTTCGCCTTTTATGAGTTATGGTTGACAGAAAGCATCAATTTATTTGCATTGTAACTTATTTGTTAATGTAATGCGATGTTTGTATAGCTCTGAGTCCTGCCTAGATCAACCAGCTGATGAAAGTGTTCATGAAGTCGTAACATTCGAGCCATCCACGCTGCCATGTAAGTTCCTCTATGAAATTAAGTTACTCTACTGTTACCTTATTACTCTACTGTGTTGGGTGGGGGGCCAACTTCATGACGGTTTTTTAACATCAGTTCAAGCACCACAATGTGAAATTATACAATCTCATGCTTTGGATGCTTTTAAGGTACAATGCATCACTGTTTCTCAACCACGTTAATGGAGGACCACCAGCTCTGCACTTTTTCTGTCTCCTGAACCAAACACACCTGATTCAGATCATCAGCTTATTAGCAGGGACTGAAAGACCTGTAATGCGTGTGACAAAGCAGACATCCAGAACCAGTGTTGATGGTGCTCCAGGAACGTGGTTGAGAAACACTGACGTACATGAATGTTAAATATAAATGAAGTCATGTAAAATTTGGTGTCATCAAAGTACCTCCCTTTATAAAGTTGTCGAAAAACATAAAATAATTCCAACAGCAGACCATTAACTTACTACATGTTGGACCAATTTGGATTCTCATATAAGCAATTGCATAGATTAAATAGGCATAAGAGGCTGCACAATGCAAACATGTTGGATTGTTTTTGTTAACAATCTGCAAGAAAAGCATTTCATACAATATTTAAGCACATTGTTTTGTCTTTATTGTGTGAAAAAACACTTTCCACAGTTTCAAATGATGTCTCTTATCTGTAAGATCCAAAAATTGTTAAATCAAGACTCTCTCATCTTTAACATTGCATGTTGTGCATTACAGTTTTACTCAATTGCTTTGGCTCAATTCTCTATTGAAATTTTTATTTTTCTAAACAACAAGTTTAGATGTTTGAACAATTAACCTATTGTTAACTTCAGATTGGCTTTTCTTATTGATTTAAGCAAATTGCAAACAGCAAGTACAAATTTCTGTAGATTGGACAAAAAACTAATTGCATATGGCCTGTTGATTATGATTATTACTGATGAGTCAATTCTCTATGTTTGTCAATTATCTATGTTTAAGTTTGGTGTATGTACATAACACTTCACGCATCACAATCACTACACTAACAGTCCTGCAGCAACATGCTTATGGATGAGCAATTGGAAAAAGTGTAACCTCTGGCAAGGCTAACAAGAGCGACAGGATGTCCACCAAGAATATATTTTTTTCATGAATGATATTTTGTAGTTTTTTGTGTATTTGTTGTAACATACGAAATATGAAATATACAGAATAGAGTAATTGGACAAGCAAGACTACACTTTACATGTTATACACCTGTACAAAATAAATGTACTGTATAAATACAAATATTCATTTATTTTTCATTCATTTGTATGTACTAATCACTCTTCAAAACAAATATCAGATTTTTTAAGCCTTAATTTCCATGGTTGACTGTTATGGTGAATAAACAACCAATCATTTTGAGCTGTGTGGCTCACATAATAACAAATACACTTTCTGTTTTGGTGGCCTTGGCCAAATTACTGACACAATAACTAGGTTTTGAAGCAGTAATGAAATGTTTTGGGTGAGTAACTAAATTTTGCAGACATGCAATAAAGTTCTGAAGTTCCAGCTAACAGTTTTGAGATTTACATTCATAGTTTAGAGAAAAACTGAAATAACGTAACGCTGCAGCCTTTAATCTGTTCACAGCTCAGTTTAAATGTCCCACAAACATATTTTTGCATATCTAAAGGAATTTTTATATTGGAACGCAAGTGAAGTACAATATCTTAATTTTAACAACAGGTAATAAAAAAGCAACCAACTGCTATATCACAGTTATGACTATTGACCACGAAACCAGGCTATTATTTATTGAAATTTTTACATCACTTGATAGCTGAATAAATAAACATTCTATTTATGTATGTTTTGCTGGAACAGGACAATATTTGGCCTATTATTACTGTGTGAATGTAAGGAATCTGAGAGTTCAAAAATCAAAATTGCCTTTAAATTGGTCACATTTCTAATAAAAAAATCTTATTTGACATGTTTAAAGTAGGACATTTTCAACAAACATTCTTAGAAGACTATCTTTACTCAGTATTATAATGATTTTGGCATAAAAAAGAAATTAATCATTTTGGACCATACAGTTTATTATTGGCAACATAAGACTGGCTTTGTGGTCCTGGATCACAAATATGTATGGAATTTAAGTTTATTATATATTTTTTTACTTTTGTTATAATTACCCTGTCTGGCAGCAGTCCACTATGATCCTGACACAACGGAGCCCATCAGCTGCAGTCTGAAGTCTCTCGATGAGCTGCTGTCATGGAAAAGAAATGAAGCAAGTATATTTAATGTGTCCAGTGTGCCACTGGCTAGCAGGTATCCTCCACTCGAAAGCTGCCCAAGGAGGACACTGGTGTCCCATGACATGATGGGAGGCTATCTAGAGGACAGGTATAACCCAGAGTTTGACTTTAGCCTTGTGATGTCAGTTGTTTGTCCAGCTTCCAGCATGTTCATGGCCCTGTTCTTTCTGCTGAGGTTCATTCAAGGTGCAGAGGTAGAGACTCCATATGCCTTCTATCACTGGGAGTATATTGACATCTTTAACTACTTCAGTCATCAAATGGTAACCATTCCTCCTGCGGTCTGGACCAATGCAGCACACAGGCATGGAGTACTCTCTATTGGTAGGTTGGTGCTCTCTATTTCATACTGAAAACGTATTAGCATTGTTTTTAAAAACCTTACAAACCTGTTTGAGTTTCTTTCTTCTGTTGAACACAAAGGAATATATTCTAAAGAATGTTGGAAAAAACAGCCTTTGCCTTCACTGGTGCCTTTGACAATGCATGTCTTTTTTTCCAAACATTCTTTAAAACATCTTGCTTTTGTGTTCAACAAAAGAAAGTCATTCTTAAAAGTTTAGAACCACTTAAATGTGAGTAAAGGGTCAGGAAATGTACGTTCTTGTTTGGTGAACTATTGTATGAAACCAATATCATAATCACACTTGCGTGCCAAAAAAAAAAAAAAAAAAACGAATAATGGCATTCCAGATTTTGTGATATGACCAGTGTTGCCAGATATAGCTGATTTTTTCCAGCTGTCCAAAATTAACCCCATAATTTTTCAACGTACAGCAACCAACGCCAGCAGTCACAGAACCACAACATGACTAGATCACAATGAAACACTGCCCCCCTCTCACTCACACACTGCACTTAATGTTGTGTAGATTACACTACCTGTTAGAGTATGTTTTACTTTTGAAATGGAGTACTGTTGTCCCATTAGGCGTTTTAAATTCTTTTGAACACATGTAGGCTCTGCTTGACAATCAGACAACGCTTCTATGTTTGTTCTTGCTGTCAATTGCGGAAAAAAATTATCATGATAAACTGCTGTGAGGTTAACGGCAGGCGCTGCAGAGTCAGATTTGTATGGGGAGGTCGGCGCCAATAGCCTAGTGGTTGGTGCGTCGACACAGCATTTAAGATTTGTATGGGGAGTCAGATTTTGATACAACTTTCCTTTACCTCCTCTTGTGAGTGGATCCACTCGGTTTGCGATATGCACTGGTTACTGTTAAATGAACTGCTAACTGTATATAAAATACACATTTCAAAACCACCCAAATTTTGGCAACACACCAATGGCATTTTTTGCCCGCACAATTAAATTCAAAACTACCCAATCGAGTGGGAAACTGCCCTATCTGGCAACAATGGATATGACTCAACTATAGCGTATATCTCCTCATGGGCATAGGTTTGCACATTGATGGGGACAGGTGAATCTAACAACTATGTATCTGGAAAATCATGCAGCTCTGTTTACAGAGATTTTACACTGATGAGTAAATAATGCAACTTTTTAAAACTGTTGCAAACCACAGTGAAATTAAATTAAAATAGTCTTTATCTTCTTTAAGGCACATTTATCACAGAATGGACAGATGGAGCAAAGACATGTGAGGCCTTCCTAGCTGATGAGGAGAGTTACCGCGCAGCTGCTGATAAGTTGGTTCAGATTTCCCACTGCTATGGCTTTGACGGCTGGCTAATAAACATAGAAAATGAGCTGAGTGTGAGTACATAAAGCAATTCTGATGGCATGTATTTGGTATTATGTGTCAAAAATGCAGGATGTCTAACACTTCACCACACCAAACTTTTCTCAGGAGACTGCGGTGAATAACACTGGCCCCTTTCTGCGCTACCTCACTGACCAGATGCACGAGCGTGTCCCAGGAAGTGTGGTCATCTGGTATGACAGTGTACTGAAAGACGGCAAGCTCCTCTGGCAGAACGAGCTCAATGACAATAACAGGCAAGTGATGTTCTTCTGAAGATCTGAGGTACAGATTTGTGAAATTTACACCGGAAATTTAAACTACAAATAAAATCAAAACTAACATCATTGGTTTTGTTAGCTAACATTGCTAGTTTTGTGGCGAACAATTCATCTGTGCTTGTCATTAAGAAAAAAAAATTAATAATGTTTTATTCACCTCCTGTTTTTTTTTTATCAGATCTCCTAGTTTTTCACGATAGTTTTTGTGATTTTAGTTTTTTTGGTGATTAAAAATTACAGACTTTGTGGTGGTACCGTAATTCCCAGATATTTGCGGACAATTTTGAGATTAACATATATATATATATATATATATATATATATATATATATATATATATATATATATATATATATATATATATATATATATATATATATATATATATATATATATATATATATATATATATGATATCTTATTTACCATATTAGGTAGCCTACTATGTTAGGTGTGCAATCTGACACAATGACACAAATCATAAAAATAAAACTTCTTTGTTTAGGCCTCTTGACCTGATCTAAAAAAAACTGTAGGGATTAAGCTAAAGGAAGGTTGTATAACTCTTATTTTAATCCACGATCTTAGTTTCTCTCAGATTTCATTCCCCGGATCATCTGACATCAGGTAACTCACTCAGATCATGCGTTAGGGCTTCCCTTACTGTAATTCACCTAAAACACGTTGCCATAAAACTCGTCAGTGGCAGGGAAAGAGTTAAACAAAATTATTTATCGATTTGACGCATATCATAATATCAGCCATACATGTAAAGCACAAATAATGTCCTTCAAGTCGGTCATGTCCAGCAGCAGTTAAGCTGCTAGTTTTTCTGTTGGTTCCATTGCTCCATTTGTTAGATGTTTGCTCACTTTATTTTGCAGCCTGAGTCACGTCAAACGCACAAAACACCCAATTTGTGCTACAGGTTGTCTAATCCAATCTTTGCATTAATTTCACATGTAAATCACTTGCGCTTCATTCATGTCTGCTTACTGCACAGGCTGCAAAACTATTTTCTCCTCTCCCTTTCATGTAATGTAATGATTGTGAGGGTGCAGGCGAGACACAATTTTTCCAGAGACACTTAAAAACATCACGTGTGCTGCTTATGCAACGTCTATAAGTCATGTAAAACAATTTATTGCAAATTAAAATAAATATAATTTGATTATATGGTTTGGAGTTGGATGTATTATGGGATTATTTATGTTTTATTGTGATTATTTTGCATTTAAATTAAGAATTTTGCAGGATCCGCTGATTTTTGTGTTTGATTCAGCGATCGCGCAATTGCAAAAAACTAAGAGGACTGTTTTTTTCAGTTAAATTGTCAGATTACATATGTGTTAGGTATTGGGTGTGGCTAACATAATTTACCTCGCCCCTCCAACTGTTAACAACCAACAGAAATGGTGAGCAGGAGGCGTGTGTTAGGTTGTAATAACTCTCCCCAAACCCTATTTCCCAATCTTTCTGAGTGAAATGGTTACTTTACTACATCCAATCAGCTTGCAGTAGAAAAAACAAGCCACATCCACTGTTTTCTCATTTAAAATTCTGTTTCTAAAGGGACTGAATATGAAAGGAATATACAAAAAAGTGGTCGCAGCTTCCGGTTGAGGTGGACTTTAACAGTAGTTGCAATTTTCTGCTTCATCAGTTTCCTTATGTCATCCTATCAGAATGTTTTTCGACGCTTGTGATGGATTTTTCACAAACTACAACTGGACAGAGCAGAGCCTGGAGGGAATGAAGTCTTATGCCGCTGCTCAGGGACGCTTTGCTGACATCTATGTCGGTGTAGATGTGTTTGCAAGAGGCAAGGTGATCGGAGGGAAATATGAGACCAATAAGGTTAGAGGGTTTGTATATAGTTGTAGAAACGATTGCTCTTAACAAAGCTTCTTTTGTATAATTGAAAAGACAGTAATATTAGTGAAATGTTGAGATGAGATGCTTTATTGCTGTGATGGTAAATCTGAAATGTCATTAAATCAGTCTTCAGTGTAACATTAAAAGGATAATGAAGATATTTTGCTGGTTGCTGGCACCCATTGACTTCAATAGTATTTTTTATAATACTTTTTTTGAGGGGTTTTCACCTTTAATGGACAGGAGAGTAGAGAGTATTCACAGGAAAACATGTGGTACAGAGAGTGGGGAAGGATCAGCATAGGAACTCGAGGCAGGAATCGAACTCAGGTAGCTGTAAGCACTGGAGTGCATGTGTCGATGCACTAATCACTACACCATTGGCACAGACACTTCCATAGTAATTTTATCCCTTATTGTGAAAGTCAATTGGTGCAAGCAACCAGCATTCATCGAAATAAAAAAAAGAGAAAGAAACCCATAAAGGTTTAAAACTACATAAGGGAGAGTAAATGATGAGGTAAATCAACTGATGCTTTAATATTCTGATATTATTCTGATAAGCTTCTCAAACATTTTTTTGTTATGGTGAATGTTGAAAAAGTTTTGCTGCTTAATTTTGTTATTGAACCCATGAAATCCTGAGAGCATTTATTGATGAATACAAAGTGCAGAATTAAAAAAGAAATATTTTGTTTCTTTATTAATGCTGTCACTTTTGATAAAATTTTACCCTTAAATAATATAATATAATATAATATAATATAATATAATATAATATAATATAATATAATATAATATAATATAATATAATATAATAATATAATATAATATAAATATTATAATATAATATAAATATTACAATATAATAAAATATAATATAATATATTACAAAATATTGTAATATAATATAATAAAATATAATAAAATACAATATAATATAATATAATATAATATAATATAATATAATATAATATAATATAATATAATATAATATAATAAAATATAATAAAATATAAGTACAAGTGAAAAAAGTTTTGTCTGGCTCAGTGTATAAATAAAATCTTATTGACCTGAAATTTTAAATAGTAGTGTGCAACAGTAATATCTTGTTTTTGATATTTTGTTTCACTATTAGGCTCTGGAGCTGATTCGGAAGTATGACCTGTCGACAGCCATCTTTGCTCCTGGTTGGGTGTATGAATGTCATGAAAAGGCAGATTTTCGGCAAAATCAAGACAAGTAAGCACTTTACAACACACTGCTTAAATGATGGAAAATGTGCTCACTGTTTTACAATAGAAACTGTATAGATGCACACTCGCAAATGTCACTGATGTTGATAATATCTGATTATTGTTTTCAGGTTTTGGAGCTTGCTATCTGATTTCCTTTATATCCACCGACCATCATCCAATCTTCCGTTTGTTTCCTCATTTTGTCAAGGATTTGGGAAGAGCCTGTACTGGAGGGGAAAGGTACAATTCACACAATCATTTACCCACTGATATTCTCTTTAATACTTATGTAACTCATTCTCTTTGAGTATTTTGTGATTCATTTATTTTTTATTTTTTATTATAATTTTTTTTTTACTGTCATCAATGGGAAACCGGACTTGACTACACATCAAAGCATTGAACACATCAGCACTTTTAAATACAAAATATTTTATATAATAATTGTAATAGGACTTTTTGACATTTTGGTTCATTCACATGGCCAATTACTTACTCTTATCTGTAGGAGCATGTAGGAGTATCTCATGTTTTTTTTTATATCAGTAATGTTAAAAAACATCAATCATGTTGAGTCGGAATTATAGTTGACCAGGAGCCACAGAACACATTTGATTTGTTGAGTCACTGCTAAGTTTAACTATAATAGAGTAAAATAGAGTGTTTATTTGGATGTGTTTTTAAGACCTTTGGTTGAGCATTTCCAGAGCATTTGGGCACAAAAGGTAGGATGCTTGGAGGTGTAACAAAGATTAATTGTATTTAATTATTTATATTATTTATGCCAAAAAGTTTTTGTCTTGCTTCTAACCCGAATATCTACATTTCAATGTGAAAATAAGATTATTTAAAAAACCCTATTGGCCGATAATTTAGCATGTTTTAAGAAATAACTTCTAATTTATTTATTTTTCGTTTTATTATTATTTTTATTTATTTCTGTACCTGAATACTGTTAGCAATCCCAGAGAACTGTCAAGAACTAATCAAACTATCTTGTGAAACTGCATTCATATTGCAATATTGATCGCAGAAAATAAAATATTGCAATATCAGACTTTTTCAATATCGTCTACCCCTAATTTATAGCACTATTTATTTGACATTGCAGTTTTTCCTACTAAAATGCAGTAAAACGAACAGGTTATATGGGTTGCTCACCTGTGAATACATGAAAGTGTATTCAATGCGTAGTGCTCTGATAACTGATTTATTAAATCTCTTGTAGGTTGAGACTGAGAGGAGCTGGTTCAATCTGCACGCTCAGGAGATCCAGCCTTTGTATCTCTCGGAGAGCATCGGGAATGGCGGCTGGCTGAGGACCCGTGGCTGCTCAGAGGATGCCTGGATTGGAGGAAGCTCTCTGATGCTGGAGGGCATGATTCCATCTGGACTTTCTGACGTCTGTGCGAGGTACTGGACATTTTGTTTACACTGAAGTATCAAAAAATATTTTTATATTATTCTTAAAGAACCCCTATCACGGGCTTTTGAAAATTACCTTCCATGCAGTGTGCAACACAGCACTAAGTTAATGAAAACATCCAACTGAGGGTATAAATCTGAACGTGCACCTTGTTTTTTAATAAAAAAAGTTATTTATATGATTCTTCATTCGTCCGGATCTTTAGCCTGTTCGTATCGACGTCGACACGAAGCAATAGCAAATATGTTCTGTACCAGATACAGTAAAACGTGAATGCACCTTTCCCTTCAAATGCTAGCAGAGTGCAGGTGTGTGTAGGGCTGATCATGACTGAAGATGAGTGAACATTAATAAATGAATGTTCTAGTGATGAATGCAATAATCTACCCCTGCAAAGGGCGATTTGTCAGCCGTTTGTTAAAGGAAGGATCAGAAAAGACTTTTGATGTATGGAACTTTGCCAGTACACAATTCATGGATCATTTTCTTCCCTCCATTTTACAAGTGTACGTGAGTATGATTAAAATGGTTGCCTCCTTGTTCCTCCTTGTTAAATTGTTTTGTTAACACAATTTAATTGTGTTTTGTTACTTGTAATCTCTCCATGTAGCTTGTACTGTATCTGGTTTGCTACTTATAAATTCACGTATCACATTTAAAACCACTTTGAAAACGTGGCTCATGCTGCTTTGTTTACGGATTTAAATGCGTTTGTGAGCTCGCTATCTTCTGCCGTTTGTCGATGCTATGGCCACCGTCAGCTGTTCCTACACATGTGCGGTGGTCAAGTTTCAAAATAGTACAGCTTTGCTACTGTGTGGATTAATGCTGAATGTGTGTCATGGTTAAGAATAGAGCAACATACTGGTGTTTACCTGCATTGCTTTAATGCACTCCTGCAATGGGCTCACACATATAACTTTAATCTGCATGCACTCTGACTACTTCAACAATGTTGATAAGCCATGGTGGCCATTTCTCGCGCTGAACGCAGTCAACCAGTCGTAACAGACTGGGTCATCCAAATTAGCATGACACAAAGGATAGGTTTGGGAACAAGTTAATCTCTTAACAAATCATATGAGAGTCATTGGGATAATTAGGTAAAAATAAATGCATATGATAAGAAAATAAAAGTGTTTTTTTGACTTTGCAGGCATATCAGCCTGTTGTTATAGACCAGGGCTCACCAATCCTGGTCCTGGAGGGCCGGTGTCCCTGCAGGGTTTAGTTCCAACTTGCCTCAACACACCTGCCTGGATGTTTTAAGTATACCAAGTAAGAGCTTGATTAGCTTGTTCAGGTGTGTTTGATTAGGGTTGGAGGTAAAATCTGCAGGACACCGGCCCTCCAGGAACAAGTTTGGTGACCACTGTTATAGACCCTCAAAATCACACTATGACCTTTTTTAATGCATAATAGGGGCTCTTTAAAATTAAATTGATAATATTCAAACAGGGTTAATTGAATTTCTGGAATATCATGGAATTTAAAAAGGTCTATTTCAGACATTGAATGTGTATATTAAATGCATTTTTTGTTCAGGTCATGGAATGTCAGGGATTTCTTTTTGTTTTTCATTTTATATATCTTGTTCACTTTCCATCCATCAAAATGTTATTTTTCTGCAACATGTTTTTATTGTGTTATAATTTTTCTTTAGTACCCTTCTTTAGTATTAGGTGGCATAATGGTCACTGATTCAATTGAAAATTTAGCTTAATAGGTTGCGAGATACTCCCAAGTTTTGACTTTTTTTCTTTGCAACTTGTATTTAATTAGCTCTGTTAAAAATCTTAGATTGATAAAAGAATCATAATTAAATGTAATAACCAATGTTGTGTTAATGTTCTAAACTAGTTGAGAAAACTATGTATTCAATAAGGCAATTCAATCAAACTTCTAGTCCAGCTTTGTTTTGGGTTTCAGCACCTTGTCCTAAATGTGAAATGACAACAAGCAATTAAAGATATATTTTCCTTTTTGTATGCTCAATGCTTATATAGTAGATCATAGAAATTAAGCTTCTTAGACAGTCAAAATCAGGGAAAACCGTGACTTCTTCCTGATTTTCACTGACCTTAGGCTCAAAATGGGAACCCTGTTCAAACCCTCTGTCTTTGTCTTGTAGGATATTTTCTCTCCACGTACCTCTGGCTGCCAGGACGTTTGTTTCTTTCGTCTTCAAGCCACCTGTGGGGGTAAAGGTGTCTTTGGAGCTCAAAACAATAGATGGTCCTCTGTGCACATTTGACGGGACAGAGGAAATAGCATGTGAGTTGTTTTTCAGGCCTAGTCTCTGTCTGGAGCTGTCATGTGTTATGTCATCTAATGTAATCTGGTTTGTGTTCAGCTAGAAGTGTCTTTCCTGAAGCACTAGCTGAGAGCAACCAGTTGGTAGAGCAGTTTGCACAGAATTGTGGACAGTGGACTTCAGATGGCTGGGCTACCAGGTAAGAGTCTTAAGGTTTTAAAGGGAAAGTTCACCCCCCCCCCCCCCCCCCCCCAAAAAAAAGTCATCATTTAGTAGTGATTTTACTTCTTTTGTTGAACACAAAATAAGATGTTTTGAAGAATGTTGGAAACCTGTAGCCATTGACTTGAGTTCATATTATATACAGTCAAGCCTGAAACTCTTCATAATCCTGTCAAATTATGAAATAAAACTACATTTATTCAACCAGTATATATAATTTTGGGCTTGACTGTATTTGTTGCTATAATGGATATCAGTGGATACTGGTTTCAAACATTCTTCAAAATATCTTCTTTTGTGTTCAACAGAAAAAGGGAAATTTATTAAGGTAAGGGTGTGTAAATGAGTCAGTTTTTTTTTTTTTTTTTTTGGGTGAATTATACACTACCAGACAAAAGTCTTGTCGGCAATCCCAGTTGTAAGAGCAACAAATAATAACTTGACTTTTAGTTGATCATTTGGAAAAGTGGCAGAAGGTAGATATTTCTGATGAATCATCTGTTAAACTGCACCCCAATCATCACAAATACTGCAGAAGACCTATTGAAACCTTCATGGACCCAAGATTTTCATAGAAATCAGTCAAGTTTGGTGAAGGATAAATCATGGTTTAGGGTTACATTCAGTATGAATGGCAACATCAACAGTCTGATGTATCAAGACATTTGTGCTGCCCATTATATTACAAACCACAGGAGAGAGCAAATTCTTCAGCAGGACAGCGCTCCTTCTCATACTTTAGCCTCCACATCAAAGTTTTTGAAATCAAAGAAGGTAAAGGTGCTCTAGGATTGGCAAGCACAGTCACCAGTCATGAACATTATTGATCATGTCTTGGCGAAGATGGAGGAGGCATTAAAGATGAATCTAAAGAATCTTGATAAACTTTCTTTGCCATTCCAGATGTCTTTATGAATATGTTATTTGAGTCTTTGATCAACTAGAAGTCAAGTTATTATTTGTTGTACCTAACACTTGGATAAACGACAAGACTTTTATCAGGTAGTGTACTTTTAAAGCAGGTTTTTATCAAGAAGTGCCATTTTTAAAGTATCAAATCACAGTGATTGGTGCAGGTTAAAATTCTGACTAAGGACAATGATTGCCTCTGAAGCTGTTGTTTATGTGGCAGTGATTAATCACTGGCCATTATAGATTTAATTGTTGTTCATTTATAGGTTGCCCACTCATTCTTTTAGTCTGAAATGTTTTGGTCATACCAGACATGTGTAATATCAAATCAAACTCAATGTGGTTAAACTCTTAGATGTTTCCTGTTGAAAATGATTGGATGCTCATTGCGAGAAGTGTGCATTCGCGTTTCCCGAGATGGAGGAGATGAAGACATCAACTTTAACTGCAGGATTGGAGAGATTATGGTGAGACACACAACATGTCACATGTCTTTCAACATATTCCAGAGTTTTATTTGTTTTATGAGTAAAGCATTTTCACTGATTCACATTTAATTTTGGACAATTAGCAAGTTTTTTCACGAAATGGCACTAAATAAATGGCTTCATATACTATTTTTTGTACAAAAAAATATTTTTATAAACTAAAATCAGTTTTAAAAGGTTTTGCCACTACAAAATTAAATTCATTGAGGGATTTACTAATGATTGCCTGTAACACTTATTAAATCACTGGTGTTTAAATAATGACTTTAAGGTATTCCAATGTAAATGGGAAAGGATCAGTACTATAATACAGTATGATTGAAATACAGTATCAGTCAATATCAGCGAATCTAATACACTATACTTTAGGGCTGCACTATTTTGGAAAAATTTGACACTGCAATATTTTTTTCTCTGCAATTTATGTTGCGATATATACAATATATAATACATATTGTGAAATAATTTCACCAGATGACTTAAATAACTCTTCCTGCAAAGTCTTTTGATTGACAAGGAGGATTTTATAGGGGATTTTATACTCATTTTATGTCATTTATTATATACGTGAACAAAATGCAGTCATAAATAAACACAATGAGGCAAATATTACAGTCAAATAAACAATGATATATGGTTTCTGTGGATAGTCTAACAGTATTCAGTTACATAAATTGAATAATCAAATGTAAATTAACAATGCATTGTCTTCATCATATGAATTGTTCGATAAAATTAATCTTTATGCTGATTAAAATGCTTTGAACTCTCTTAAAATGCTTACCTAGTCACAGGCCTTAAAAACACATGCACAAGATTAACTATTACTCTTAAAAGCATTGCATGTCTTGCGATGTGACTATTGTGAACACACACATTGCGATATCAATGCTCCTACGATACATTGCTCAGCATATATAAGTACACCCCTCACAAATCTCTCTTTTAAATTCATATTTTTAATAGGAAGCTGTACAATATTATATTTGTGCTTATACATTAGATTAGGCAGTACTGAAGCCAAATCTGAAGCTTATCTAAAAAAATAACTTATGATAACGGTCCAAAAACTAGTACACCCAAAATTATGTTATAGAAAAATATTAAATACAAATTTAAAAAAAGGAAAAAAGGTTGTAGGTTGTAATTTATTTTTGCAAAATTTTGCAATTTCTTTCAATTTCTAAATATGTTTGGTGACTAAAATATTATTTTAATAAATATATCTGTTTAATAAATCTGTTTTGTTTAAATGCACCAAAACACATTGCCTATTCACAGAGAAATTGAGAAAAATATTTATTTTCAATATGGGATATACTCAGATATGCTGAACACTGTATATTGTGCAGCTCTACTATACATATTTGCTTCTAGAGCATTACATTAACACACACAAAAATGTAAAGTTGCATATTTGCTTTTTGAGATGCCCTACAAATTGACTGTTTAAATAATTTTGGTCATTTTGTATGGTATATAAATATTGTAAAATTAATCAATAGTTTTAATATTTAAAAAATTGTGAAAAAGGGTCTTAATCAAATAATTCTGTCTTCAGTCTCACATGATCATTGAGAATTAATTGTAAAATTCTGATGTGTTGCTTCAACATTTCTTATCATCAATATTAAAAACACCTGATTAATATTTGTTTGAAACAATTCAAGAGCAGAAATACTTTTTTTTAAATAGATTTTTTAAAATTACAAATATGTCTTTACTTTTTAAACATTTCTTTGCATTCTTTTTTTAAACATTTTTAATTGTAGAAAAAATCATTTGATTAAGTATAAAATTATATAAAATTAAGTTTTTTTTTTTTTTTTTTTGCATCTTAACCTCTCCCTCCCCCAAAGCATCTAAATTCAATTGAACAGGTAAATGTATTGTTATACATGGGCTAAGGCAAATAAAAACATATACTGTATTCCACATACAAAAATACAAATGTCAATCAATAAACCAGTAGTGTGAGAGGTATTTGCTTGTGCCATTGTATGGTTTTGTTCCATAAATTGTGTAAACAAATCCCAAATTTTATGGTACACCTTTAATTTGCCCTTTATACTTTAGGTCAGTGTTTCTTAAACTTTTTTCACCAAATACCACCTCGGAAAAAATTGTCTCTCCAAGTTCCACCATAATGACTGATATTGAAATACATAGTAGGCCTAATAAAGCGGCTACAGCTCTGCACAATTCACAAATGTGGCAGATTAATTCTTCTTATTATGAATATTTATTATTGTCAGCCACTTTAAACATAAGAAATAGTTAGAATAATAACACACTTACAGGTAAAAGATTAAAAAAACGTCAATGTTAAAATAAAAAATGAGATTTCAAAAGTTAATTAAAAATGGCACTGTTCTTAAAAAGTTCAAAGAAAACTGCTGTACCTAAATGAAAAGTATTATCATAAAGTAGCCTATTTATCAAAACCTGCAAATGTTTCTTGGACCTCATAAATATCGGTTATACCGTATGTCATAATTTTATTTATAACTCTGTTGCATGGATATATGACTTATTTATATATCTTTAAAATCTATATGTTACCTTGTATTTTAAATATATGAATTGGATTTACATATTTAAACAAGAAATTAGATCTGCTTGCTGCTCGTTAGAGTAGGTTATGTGTGTTAGAGGAGCAAGTGATTAAACTATACCTGTCAACATTGGGATGTAAAAATACAAGATACGCCCCCAACAACTGTTACAAGTATGGGGAGGAAAATAACCTCAAATGATAGAATACATAACAAACCTTAGAAAAAAATGAAAATAAAATAAAAAGTTTAGCCTATTAAAATCAATTTCCCGATCACATTGTTGTTGAGGAGATTAATTGGATTACTTATTGCCAGAAAACCTTTTCTTTGCATTCCTAATATATCATTGTCCATTTCTGTTTTTTAAATCCAGCTGTTGGATGCAGATAATCTTCAAGCGCCACTGCAGTCTGTTGAAGGCATCTGTGTCAATGATGTGGTGTGGCAGACGGGTGTTTTAAAAGGAGACGGACACACACTGAAGGTACTTTTGAACGCCACCTTGCGATGGCAATATCCAACCCGGCAGGTCCGCCATTTCCGGATTCACTGGAGGCACCTGCGTGGTCCTGACCCTCGGATCCCTTCTGGACCCTTGACTCTGATCGGCAGGTCTTACTCCACCCTGTACCGCGTGGTGGAGCTGGAGGTTCCTGCTGCTCCGGGTCTCATAGAGCTGGTGGTGGAGCCTGTGAGTAAAGAGGGGTTCAGCGTCCCAGAAGCCCAGTGGGGCCGACAAACCCTTAGCTACAGCCAGAGTCCTTCAGGCAACCCATCTCATTGATCATGCAAAGGGAGTTCACCAAAAAAAAAAAAAATAGCTGAAATTTGCTCACCTACAGGCCATCCTTTGTTTAGAAGAACTTTAATGAAGGCTTTTTTGCCTTTATTAAGTGGATAGGACAGTATTTCAGACAGGAAGCAAAGTGGGAAAGAGAGGAATTGTCCTCAAGCCGGGATTCAAACTCGGGACGCTCTGAAGTGCTACTCCACCATGTGTCAGCCTGCTAACCACTAGGCTGTTGCGCCGACTAATGAAGGCTCTTAAGCTTAAAATCTGGTTCTTGATGATTCACAAAATAGAAGTCAATGGCTACCAGCAATAAAAAAAACATGAGTAAAAAATAAGAAAAACATCAGATCTGTGCAAGAAACTAATCATTATTTACAAAAGGAGCACAGTTTTAGCTAAAAATATTCTTTAATGTTGCACTGTATAAAACCTACATCTTTAATGGCCTGAGGGTAAGAAAACGAGCAGCCATTTTTATTTTTTGGGTGAATCATTGATTTATATGCAGCTTTTGATTTGAAGTTATTATATATTTATATGCAGTGGAGTGCATCATGCATTGGTGCTTATGGTGAAACTGTATGCAGTATTTCATGAATGACTGAAGTTGTTTATTTTGAGTGCTTAAGCATGAAGGAGCAGCTGTGTGAAATACCATTTACTGGTTAAATAGGACCAAAGTGGTCTTTTGTTTTTAATCACACATACACTCTAATTTTTAGGTGCATGATTTAACAATTTAATCATAAAAAGCATGTGAACATTATTCATTTTTCTTTTTGCCTTAGTCTCTTTATTAATCCACGGTCACCACAGCAGAAAAAACTCCAACTTATCCAGCATATGTTTTAGGCAGCGGATGACCTTCCTGCTGCAACCCATCACTGGGTAACACCCATACACTCTCATTCACACACATACACTACAGACAATTTAGCTTACCCAAGTAACCTGTACTGCATGTCTTTGGACTTGTGTGGGAAACCGGAGGACCAGGAGGAAACCCACATGAACACGGGTAGAACATGCAAACTCCACACCAAAATGCCAACTGAGCCAGCCGAGACTCAAAATTGTGACCTTGTTGCTGTGAGGTGACAGTGCTACCCACTGCGCCACCCATGTGAACATCATGAAAATTGTAAACTTATTTTAACCTCAGTCTACTCTGTTCATGATATTCCCTCATCCGTGCAGCTTTGCGAAATCAAGCTTTCAGATCCTCCCAGTTTACTTTCTTCTTTACAGATATCTTTTAAGCTAATTTCTTTCTTAGCATACATTTCAGGCATCATTTCAATTGTGTATAAAAAAGTACGACTTTATTGCTTGCACGCATTCAGTTTTACAAATTTTACAAGACACTGGCATTTGAGCTTGCAATCAATATAAAAAAAAAAAAAAAACAAGTGTCAGATTTTGGTAAAATTGTTGAGTGTTGATTGTCTAAAAGTGGTTAACGAGCCATTTTAGGTTTGTATCTGAACAAGATCCATCACTCCTGCTGAGTCACCATCTTCAACATCCGTAAAGCCATTGGCCCCTGGTCAGATGGGATCTGTGATGGAATAGACAGAAATAGTTGTATACTCATCAAGACTAATATTGAATAGAGGAAAACTAAACATGATATTCTGACTTTGGCAAAGCATACCATGTGTCCTGCTTTAAGGATCCAGTAGAAAGCAAAGTTCTTGTAGGTCTTATAGAAAGCTCCAGTCTGGCTCTGTTCTTGCGGGTCCTCCAGTGCCGTCCATTTCAGCTTGTTGAAGTTTTGGAGTCCGTCCCATTTCAGCTTTTTCACCCACATCTCCTGACCTGCTCACAAATAAGCACAAATCAATTGCCACTGCATTGCAGAAACACTATCTGGACAACACCCCATCACAACAGTCTTCCTGCACAACAAAACGGCTGACACTAAACCAGGGTGAACGGATCACAAGTGCTCAACTGTCGCATGCCACTAATCACAACTGACGTCGTACAGTGAGTTGTCATGTATGTCCAAGTGCAGTAAGATTTTATAGACAGGGTGTAATGATCCAAAAGACTCAGTCAGGAAGGAAATGTCTTTAAATAACTTTATTTTCTAGAGTCTGCATTTTGTTCTGTCTACAACTGAAACACAACCCTAGAGTTTTGATACAGACCTAAAATAAGGACTGGACATATCCTAAAGTCTTATTTTTTGAGGGTCAAAAAAATCTTGTACGGATGCTAGGTGCGACTATCAAAAAGTTCTGGGGCCATTTATTGTTCCCAGACAAGCCAAGAGACAAGAAGGTGCTGAGGTTGTTCATCAGTAGGTCATGTGCATGAATTTTTGGGCACTGGTAAGGACAGTGATGAGCTTATTTCACTACACATTGAGACACACGGAGTGTGACATCAAAACGTCCTCATTGTGCATAATCAAAACTGGAGTTATTAAACAACAGCAGAACTAATAATTTTCATATATTAATTTGATCAAGTTTTTGAAAGTATATCACTGCTTAATAATTTGATTGGTTCATGTACCAGCAACATTTCACCCATTAAACAAATATAAAGGTTTATTAGATTTTTCCAAACCTATCGAACCATGTTCATTCACGTTTAAAATTAGTTATTAACGGATTATTTTAGATAAACTAAAAATTATGGTTGATGATTTGAGTCATGTGATTCACATTTTGAACTTTCGAATTTCCATTCAGGGCGCATAGTGCGTATTAGGCAATGTTTTTCATGATGCATTATTGGACTTTTCCAGTGATGAAAGAATGCACTGAAAGAATTTCGTGAATGAGACAGCACTTAAAATGGCTGATGGCCTGATCAGTGCACCGACTACTGAACCAGGGTGCTGATCGAGATGCACACATAAGCTATGTTCCACTCCATTTTTAGACACGCTCTCGTAAAACTTCCCTTATTTTTCTCAGGGGAATCCCCACTACCATTTTAAAGTGTTTTGCACTTCGTCAAGTGAGAAGGGAAGATTATATGGAAATACCCTCGACGATCTTGACGAGTTGGCTTCATTTGTTCATTCCAGCACCTAGATCTCCCAGTATGCGATGCGATTGTGACGTCACAACAGTGTTATTCCTAAGTGCTCTAGGGTTTAAAGGCAGGGGTCTTGAACTCGATTCCTGGAGGGCTGGAGCTCTGCAGTTTTGCTCCAACCCTAATCAAATGCAACTGATACAACTAATTAAGGTGAATTGGAGGTGGTTGGAGCTAAAATCTGTAGAGCTGCAACCCTCCAGGAATTGAGTTTGAGACCCCTGGTTTAGGGCATCCCATTTAAACCAATTCCGATTTTTAGCCAAAAGTGGACACTTATGTAATGTAAACAATGACCTACATCTGAGGGAATGAGATAGAGGGATGGCAAATGAAGGGCATAAAAAGAACTGCACTGGAATGAATCTTCACCCTGGGCCTCCTCCAGGTGGGATATGCCCAGAACACATCCACAGGAGGCATTCAAATCAAATGCCTGATCCACCTCAATGGCTCCACTGGATGTGGAAGATCAGTGACTCTACTCCTAACGCCACTCTATGACGGAGCTCCATGAACATCACCTTTATAAAGGTGTGATCTGACACTAAGTGAAGGAAGCTCATTTTGATCACTTGTAGCGGACATGGACCTGCAGATTTACTATCAAAAGTGGGGTTTAAAATGTAGCAAGTTCTGTTGTTCAGGAGTTGACATTTTGAGATGTTTGCTAATGGTTGACATCCTCACCCATCGTGTCCACGATGAGATCCAGCTGGCCATTGTAGACTGTAACATTGACCCCTGCTGCCAGAAGCTGATCCACAACGTCCACCACAGGCTTCATGAAATCTCCTGCCATGCTGACAAACACGTCCTCAGCTTGTCCTGAAGAAACCGGAGAACAGTTCTTAAAAGGGATAGTTCACCCAAAAATGTACTCATTTACTCACTTGTTCTAAACCGGTTTGAGTTTCTTCAGTTGAACACAAAGGAAGATATTTTGAAGAAAGCTGAAAATCTGTCACCATTGTATGACACAAAGTACTTCCATAGTATTTGTTTTTCCCATAAAAGAGGTCAATGGTTGCTTTCTTTAAAGGATCCTATTTTGTTCAACAGAAGACAGACACCCATAAAGGTTTATAACCATTTGAGGGAGAGTAAAATGCCATTTTTGGCTGAACTATCCCTTTAAGAATAACAACATTGTGAACACAGAAACACCTTTGTAAATCATAAAAAGGGTCATCACCTCCCCATGTGACGTTCTTTGGAATAACACCAAGCTTTTGCCTGATTGGCCCGTTCATCAATTCTGAGAGGGACTGACGGTGCAAAGGGCGAATGTGGCGTCGCTTCAGTGCGACTGTAAAAAAAAAACGAAACATAGCCAAAACATTTTTTTTTATGTACATGAGCAGTTTGACTGACAGTGTGCGTGTTGAGCTTCTTACGGAGGAATCCATCTGCAGCTTGATCTGCACTGCTCTTCACCATCTCATCAGAGTTTTGTGTGAGGATGTTGTAGAAGTTTACACCATTTGTGTTCTGTTACAAAACATGTTAAATAACTTGCATGAGATTTCTATAACTGAAGACCTTTTTTAAGAGTACAGGAGAGCCTGTAAAGCATGTTTGTCTTACTTGTTCCACCACATTTTCTGTCATGGACCAAAGGTCAGTGGCTTTCAAATAGTCGCCCTGTTGCACTGCTTCCATCACTGCCTTTGCTGCTGTATACACCTCATTTAGTCCAGTATCGTCCAATAGAGACTAGAACACATATAACAGACAAACGCCAGCAGCATTAAACACTCTAATAGCAGTCAAATGTCTGTGAGACAAGGTTGAACTTAATCAATATAAATCACACATACTAAATTCAATATACACTTGAATCAGTATGAAAATAAGGTTTTATTCTGCAAGAATGCTTTCAACTTACTAAAAGTGAAAAGGCATTTATAAATGTAACAAAATATCTCATTTAAAATAAAAAATGCAGTTTTTGAACGTTCTATTCAAAGACAAAGCATCAAGATAACTTGAAAAATGTTAAGCAGTACAAGTAAGGGTGTCCTATATATATGGACAATATTTTATCTCAATCAATTCAAAAAGGATTCATTCAGAAGTGAGACACTGCAATTTCAAATTTCTGCTTAGGTTTATTACTTTTTTCAGTGGCAATAAAGCTAAAAAAACATCTAAAATGTAACTCATATGTAACTATGTTGTATAAAATCAACATCAGATATGCAACTTCACTCAAATGCATTTTGAAAATGTCTTGATTGCGTAGTATTAATTGACTACATTAGAGAGGAATGGTGGCACAATGGTTAGCACCCTCACCGGTCACCTCACAGGAAGAAGGTGACTGGTTCGAGTCTCAGCTGGGCAAGTTGGCATTTCTGTGTGAATTTTGCATGTTCTCCCCGCATTCGCGTGGGTTTCCTTTGGGTTATCTTTCCCCCACAGTCTGAAAACATGCAGTACAGGGGAATTGGGGAAGCTAAAAATTGTCCGTAGTGTATGAGTGCGTGTCTGTGTGTGTGTGAGAATGGGATGATCTAAATTGGCCTTAGTGCACGGGTGATTCCCAGTACTGGGTTGCAGCTGGAAGAGCATCTGCTGCATAAAACATATAAGGGAATAATTGGTAGTTCATTGCATTGTGGTGACTCCTAATAAATAAGGGACTAAGCCAAGCGAAAATGAATGAATGAATATTTGACTATTATCCAGTGCAAAATAATAATAATAAACAAAAAGATTTAGTTTTATTTCATGTTTTGGCTTATAGGACACTAATTTGTATTCTAATGAGCCAATAAAGATAAAACTTAATGATTTTTACGTGTTTTTTTTTATTTTATAACATTATGACAATGTCAGCTTGCATAGTCAAAACAGCAATTACATTATAATCTTAGATAGTAAATATTGCACCCCCCAAGCACAGCTGTTTAAAAAAAAAATCTTGAGCATCAAATCATGATTTTAGAATCATTTATAAAGGACCATGTGATGTTGAAATTTAGCTTTAAAAATACTGAACTAAATAATATTAAAATAAAATAGCATTATTTTGAGCTGCAATAAAATGTCATACTAAACCTGCTTTTAGTGTCTCTTTATTATAATTAAATCAGGCTTAACATAAGATACTCCGTTAAATAACTGCAAGCAAAGTTAAATACTAGATTGTTACTGTTTTGATCGTGCTAATGCAATCATGCTTAATCTGTTATGAGCAGACAAAGGTGTTCTGCTGAATTACTCACTGTGCTGTAAAGATAAGCACCCCAGGTCATGACCGAATCTGCCATAAAAATAAAGAAGAAATACTTGCTGTCATGTGAGTAAAGCATATACATGATGAATGTGCATAATGATCAGTTAAAAAAAAAGCAGACCTATAGGAGAGATCCAGGAGTCTCCCAACGCCACTCCAGCAAAGTTGCATTTGATTGAACCAGCCTGAATTGCCTGAAGAGTGAGGACATTAATATTCAGTTCAGATTATAAAGAGTTTGAAGTAATCTGCAAATTAGCAGCGAACAGAAAGTAGTCTAGACTTATGCAATGGATGTTTTAGGAAGTACGGACAATTCTGACTCAGACTCTTCCTGATTTAGATGAAATCAGCAAAGCACGTGTCTCAAAAACAGTTTTATGGACATGTTGTGCAAGTTGCTACAGAATTGAACAAACATTTCATTACCTTTGTGAGCTCGAGGGAAATAGCAGCTGCCATTTTGCCTCCGTAAGACTCTGAGAATATGTAGAAGGGAATACTCTGTTGGGAAGAAAAGATCTCATGACGTACACGAAGAGTACATTGGGTTCATTCAGTTGTGCATTTTAATTTAGCTCACTTGAAATTCTGTCTTTAGAGAGAAAAATTTATTGAGGAGGACCATCATGTCTGATGCCACCATCGCAACGTCCTTGGTGAGGGCATCTTCAGTGTCTGTGTAACTGTATCCGGTGCCCACTGGGTTATCCACAAATAGCACACTGGCGGCACGCACCTGCACAGACACAAGTATTTTCAGCAGAATAAATTATTTAGGGATTCCAAAATAAGGTTTCTTGAAATTGTGCTGCATATGAGGCTTCTTTATGAAGTTATACAGAAACAAACAATGAAAAATCCCATAAATAAACCATACTCCAAAATAAACCACTCAATCAATACTGCAGATGAGAACAATAGATCCGTTACACACCCAAGAGGTTTCTCTCAGCTTAAGGTCTCTGTCAAGAGGTCCAATTTCCTCAAAATTTCCAAAACCACAGCTAGATCCCCCAGGGCCTCCCTAGAATAAACAGACGCATAAATGACCTTAGATGCACTTCAAAACATTTGAGAGAAATGAGAAGAGCAATGATGTTCTGATGAGATGTGATCTAAAATAGAGATGATTTATGACAAACCTGCAGCCACATGACTAGAGGTAGTTCTTTATAACTGGCACTGGAGCTATTGGCGTAGTACAGCCACCAGAACATGTGAGCTCCATCTCGGACATCCACGTATCCCCATGATTCTTTGGCTTGAACTGGAACGCAGCTACCTGTTGTGTTTTTTAATTGTAAGAACAACATGATTCTTAAGTTTTGAGCTTGAGGAAAACTATGGAAATTAAAAAAAAGATTTTATTTGAGATTGAGTGAGCAGGGAGGAAAACTAAGAATTTAATGGTTCTAATTCTCTTAAATGCCACTATTTTAATATATTATTTTTCAGTATGTTTGAAAAAGAAACAAAGAATTCTTGCAATGTTTACTTTAAAAGCAAAAAAGTACAAAATATATAGTTAATGTTTAGTTAGAGATAATGAAAGGCATAAGCAGTGGATTCAAATGATTAAGTTCTACATTGAGAACTAAGATGCATGTTTGTTTTTCTTTTTTTAACACCATCCCAACTAATATGGTTATATTTACGACAAGATGCAAGTTTGTTTCACAATAAAAGAGCAACTCCAGCGTTATGGCTGGATGTGACATTTGCAGTAAAAATTTAAAACATAAAGTCACATGGAAATTATATGTTAACATTATATTGAAACTTTTGTTTGTATTTTCCAAACCAACTAACCACAGAGTTACGGGATCAGAAAAATATCAATCTCTGAACATTTTCAGATTTCAAATGAGGAAATAAACATGTATTATGATTGTGAAAAAAAGTTACCGTATACAACATAGTTTATAGAAATTCTGTAAATTAAAAGGATAAGATTTATCTCGCTACAGAACAAAACTGATTCGTTTTATTTTAGATTTTTGCAGTTATGAGGAAAAAGCTTTGTTATGGATGTGACTTCTCTATGTTATGGATGTAATAGATGTGAAATTGCCACTTGTGTGACTTTGGTAAATCAAATATAATAGTTTCAAAACATTGACAGAAACATGTTTGAGTATAAAGTACAGTAAAATACTTGCTTATGCAAAAAAGCAGATTCAGTTTTGCTATCTTGGTGAAAACTTCATTTTTTTTTCATGGCAAGGTTGACATTTGCATGGAATTGCTCAAAACTTAACATTAGGTTTCTACTCCCCCCTCTCCCTTTCAGTTGGATACTACATTTGGATTTTCCTGATTAAAACCAATTAAAAAGTATTAACAGAATAAAGAAGTTCCTTAAAGGTGAATACTGCAAGAATTGCAGTCAAGTAAGCTTTTTAGATATTTAATAATGTAAAGGAGTAAACAGAATACTCAGACAGATAGTCTGTTGATGTTTTCACTTTTACACTTACATGTTTATCGTTTTAAACGATTAAAATGTATTATTCCATTGTTCTTGACTATATGAATATAATCATTTATGCTCATCGTCTTTCATTAGAATCAACCGACTCGGTTTCGGTTAATCTCACGACTAACTGGATACAAATGAAACAACGGTCAACATCTTTCGGTTTCGGTTTGTCTCTCAAGTTACAAAACATTTCACTATATCTCCTCTCATGTTGCAGTTCCATTCATCATGACTAACAATAAAAACCAAAAACCCATAAATAGATACCCTACAACTTTCCTCAGTGTTAAATTGAACACATTTCATACCTTCATAAAAGCTCACAGCAAACAGCAGCACGACCAACATGCCAATCCACGACCGCGCCATCATTAATGACCTCAGGCTCTCTCAAACGGCTGCCACATTGGCTTGTGTCTGATGGACCAACGCCGACTATAAGTACTCAAACCCAAACCCCGAGCAATGTGATGTGCGGAACAGCATCATATGACTCTAGTCAGCTGACGAACAGGGAAATAAACCACATGGTGTCCCTTCCACACCGACAGAGCGCAGCAGAGTGTGTTAGAAACCGGCGGAAGCCGTCGTTTAAAACACTGAGCGCCTCCATCATCCTCATGACTGTACTGTAACGTAGTGTAGTGTTCAGGCATGGCCACCTCCAGCCTCAACACTGCCAGGGTTAGGTTGTATTTTGACTATCCTCCTCCTGCAACACCAGAGTGTCGGATGTGTTGGTTGCTGGTGGACCTGAACAAATGCCGAGTTGTCGCAGATCTTTCCAGCATCATAAAGGAAAAGTTTGGCTACAGCCGCAAGACTATTTTAGACCTGTTTATTGAGGAATGCTACCTGCCTTCTGCTGAAAGTATTTATATAGTACGTGATAATGACAGTGTAAGGTAAGAAGTTGTGTTGGGGATCAACATTTAAGAATAGTAGCCGTTGTTTTACTATGAATAAAACTAAAATGTAATAATTGGCAGCATAGTAACAGAAAACCATTCATGTTTTTTTTTACACTTACTACACCATAGTTTAACCATGTTCTTTTGCTGTAAACCTGCCTATATAAACGTGACTCTGGACTACAAAATCAGTCATAATTGTCAGTTTTTGAAATTGAGATTTAAACACCACCAGAAATTTATTAATGTATGGTTTGTTAGGATGGAACCACTTTTGGCTGAGATACAACCATTTGAATTTGAATCAGAAAAAAATCCACATATTCAGAAAATTACATGTAAAGTTCCTAGCTACAGTATACTTATTACTAATCAAAAATTGAGTTTTGTATTTACATATTTTAATATTTACGGTTGGACATTTACAAAATATCTTCATGGAACATGATCTTTACTTCATAGTGTTTTGAATTTGAAGAGGACTTTTGAAAGTCCAGGAAAACCAGGAGGACTTTTGGGTATCTTCAAAGCAGAAACCTTTCATAAGAACTCATCGTCGCTGTGGCATTCATCGAAAAATCTCTCTACTACTGCAGCTAGCACTCACTTAAATACATAATTTAGTGGGCAGTGCTTATTAGTGGAAAGTAAAGCTGCCATTATAGGATTAGTACATAAAACTTGTTTTTAGGGGCTTTGCCTGAATTACTCCTTCATTTGTTAGACAAAAGACACAACCGTGCTTTAACTGACAATATGGCATATCTGACATTATGCGTTTCTTTACATGCTACTGTATTTCACACATAGGCAGTCAGATCTGACATTACATTACATTGGATACATGATACTGTCCCTTGCACCTCAGAATGCAACTTACAATGTAAAAGCATAACTTCTATATTTAAAGAAATGTGTAATCTTTCAATAGTCAAATGATTTTTGGATAATTTTGACCCTTTCAATGTATTTTTAACAATATTCCCACCAAAAGAAAAACTAAGACAAAACAAAGTTTATTAGTATTTGAACAAAACAAAGTAAGTGTTATTATCATGCAGGAAATAAGCATTTGTTTTATTGTTGTTGTTTTTTTATCGTCCTTTTGACAGAGTGAAAGTCTCCTGTCCTGTTCAGGTTAATGGAACCGAGGCTGAAGCACAAAACTCTAAAAGCAAGAAAAGAGGAAGAGAGGATGAGACTCAGACCTGTGATGGTCTAAGTAAAAAACAGAAGCAAGACAATGCTCAAATGAATGGTTTGGGACCTGACGAGGATGAAAAAAAGAAGAAAAAGAAGAAGAAGAAGAAAAAGAAAAAAGAGGTGAAAGAGTCCATCACCAAACCTGCTACTCCCCAAAAGAGCACTGCAGCCCTTTCTACTAAAACCAAAAGTAAAAGCACCTCTGCTGTGGCATCCAGTGACAAAACGAATCGCACAAAGAATCATAAACCAGCATCAAGCTCTTCAGACAGCAGTGAGGATGAGTCTCAGAAAAAGGCTCCTCCACCAAAACCCAAACCTAGCAAGAAGCCTTGTGTAGCTGCACAGAAAGAAAGCACAGATTCATCATCTTCGGATGAAACGGAGAAACTTAAAAGCAGCATCCCGCTTCCCATTACACCTAAACCATCCAGCAGCACTTCAAAACTTCAGACACCTCAGCAGAGAGAGAGCTCATCATCGTCGTCATCTTCACCTATCATCAAGAACTCACAAGCTGCAGGTCAATCGTCCTCAACCACTCAAAAATCACTTCAGCCGGTCTCATCTTCTGTGCCTAAAAAACCTCAGGATGAGGGAGAGAGCTCCAGCTCTGATGAGAGTGAAATAGAGCTTGTGATTAAAAAACCAAACCTGCAAGGACTGGGGCTGAGAATTGCGGGTGTGAGCCCTGGGTTTGGTGAAGCTGCAGGCAGAGGCAGAGGGAACGCACAGGGGCAGGAGAGAGGCAGAGGGCGAGGGGCGAATCGTGGCAGTGGCAGAGGAGGTTTCAGCAGAGCCAGGGGAACGCCGTGGAAACAAAACTTTCATTACAGCTATGAAAATGAAGAGAGACAGAAACCAGAAGATTCTCTGACCAATGAAAGTTTTATTTTACAGGTGAGAGATGAATGTCGGAAATGTTATAAGAAATAAGAAAACGCTAATAAAACTAGAGCATGCAGCTGCTGAAGATAGCCTCTAAGTGGAGGGTTTTCCACCAAAGATCTGGAAATATAAAACATAAATCATCAAATTTTCTGTATGTGTGGAAAAATATATACGGTTTGAGTCTTAATTAGTAGTCAATGTTAAATTAGAAATTTGTAAAAAAAAAAAAAAAAAAATTACTTAATCATTTCTTTTTTTCGACACATTTTTAAACTTAATATTTTAATAACGTGTGGCTCAGTGGGTAGCCCTGTCGTGTCACAGCAAGAAGGTCGCTGGTTCGAGCCCCGGCTGAATCAGTTGGCATTAATGTGTGGAGTTGGCATGTTCTCTTGGTGTTCACGTGGGTTTCCTCTGGGTGCTCCGGTTTCCCCCTGCAAGTCCAAAGACATGCACTGTGAATTAAATAAGCTAAATTGGCCGTAGTGTATGTGTGTGCATGAGCGTGTATGTTTGTTTTCCAGTGCTGGATTGCAGCTGTAATGACATCTGTGATGGGTTGCAACTGGAAGGGCATATTCAGCGTAAAACATATACTGGATAAGTTGGTGGTTCATTCCACTGTGGTGCAACCCCTGATTCATAAAGGGACTAAGCCAAAAACAAAATGAGTGAATATTTTAAAAACTAATTTCTTTTGTCTTTGCCATGATTATAGTACATAATATTTTACTGCTTATTTTCAAGATACTAGAATTGGGCTTAAAGGCTAGATTAAAACTAGGTTAATTATGCCTACTAGGCTAGTTAGGGTAATTACGCAAGTCATTGGACCTTTTAATATTGACCTTAAAATTGGTTTTAAATTCCAGTTGAGCTAAAATAAATCATTCTTATTATAGGAAATAGTGTGAACATTTTTAATTTAATTTGAAATAATGACATTTTGAGCTTAATATTAGACAACACAATGCCAATGGCAATGTTTTAACTTCAAAAGAATCTTAAAATCAATATATGGTAGAAAAAACATGTTCTCAATTGCAAAAAATTCAAACATTTCTTATTCTTGCCTTGCCTTGAATTTGGAAAAATTGTTAACACAGTACACACACATACATTTTATGTTTTTTTTTTTTTTTAAAGAGTGTAATTATTTTAGTTATTTATCTTTCACTTTGTGTGATCTTGTAGAACCCACCTGAATTAGCTCCCAAACGGGACTACGCTACTTTACCTTTGCTGGCAGCTCCTCCTGCAGTGGGTCAAAAGATTGCCTTCAAGGTACAGTTTGATTTCATGACTAATGAATTTTAATATCTTTCTTGTTAAGATTATATAGCATTTATATACAGTTGCTAATATAATGCTTCCTGCAAGTATTACTTGTCTGCAAACAATTTTGCGCACTTTGATTTGATTTGAAGCTTTTTGATTTTTCCCTCCTGTTTATTAAATAGCTGTTGGAGCTGACAGAGAACTACACACCAGAGGTGTCTGATTATAAAGTAAGCCGTTTGACATTTCTGTAATGTGAAGGTTGTAAATTGTGTACATTTAAACAGGCTTTCATTTTGTTATTTAGGAAGGAAAGATTCTTGCATTCAATCCTCAAACAAAAGTGACAGAGCTGGAACTGCTCTCTCGGCCTCAAGGTATCATCTTTTTGTTTATTGCAACCTTTTTTTTTTTTTTTTTTTTTTTTTTTTTTTTTTTTTTTTAAAGCTCTGTGTGATTTACACCCCGACCTTTTATTACAGTTAAAATTGCACTTCTCCTTCTAAAGCAATAATTCATGTTTTTATTTATTTATTTATTTATTTATTTTTTAGCTCCAGCTGAACCCGGAAAGTTTGACTTGGTCTACCAGAATCCAGATGGCTCAGAGAGAGTAGAGTATGCTGTCACACAGGGATCACAGGTACTGAACTATCTATCCAATGATGCCCAAACTAGAGTTGGCCCATGGCAACCTTTGATTTGGCCCACCATCAAATCTGAGAATTGAATGATGGGAGGGTTGGGACATATGAGTTTAACAGATATTGTCATTTAATATAACGTAACCTCTTTTGTTGGTTTGTTTAATTGGTGAGCTACAAAAAAACTAAAAAAGCTACACACATAATAATAATTAATTCTAAACTAATAATTATTAATATAAACTAATTATTCTGACTTCAACTATATATATATATATATATGATTTTTTTTTTTAATATTTCCCAAACAATGTTTAACAGAGCAGAAAATTTTCACAGTATGTCTGATAATATTTTTTCTTCTAGAAAAAGTCTTATTTATTTTATTTCGACTAGAATAAAAACACTTTTAAATTTTTTAAACACAATTTTAAGAACAAAATTATTAGCCCCTTTAGGTTACTCTTTTTTTTGATAGTCTACAGAACAAACCATTGTTATACAATAACTTGCCTAATTACCCTATCCTGCAT